AAAAGACCATTTCCAGTCCTGAAGTGGCATTAGCATGACACTGATTCATTAATCCCACTGAGAAGCATGTGTGACACAGGTACTGTGGGAAAGGAGAGCAGGACTTTTGCTCTACTTGGCCTGTCTGAGTAAAGCAATTTGGTATGTACTGAGTTAATAATGTGCTGTGCTTACCATCCGTAAAAAGGTACATCAGTGTTCATAGGCTCAATGGAATATGTCTGTGTGATGTCTCTCATATTGTTTATTGAGTGTATTAATGCACACAGCAATAAATATATGTCTTGGAGTTTGGAGGCAGGTACAGATGGAAAGTGTTCAGTAATTACAGAGCCAGTAACTGCCAGTGGCTGGCTGCAGAGAAGACACTTTCCTGGAAGGTCTTAAGGCAGTTTCATGGATGAGGTCTCTCGGAGCTACCTTTGTGGACTGTGGTGATCTCACAGTGCCAGGGAAGGAGTACAGATTGAACAAAGTACTCAGGCATGCGAATGTGCTCTGTCATAACCAGGGAGCCTTGGCTTAGACATCGCAGAGGTGTAAATTACAGCTGGCCAAAATTCTGTCAGTGGAGAGTTTTGCCTAAAAAAATTTGAGAGGTTTGGTTTGTTCTTCTGAACCTGCCACGATTGTGGAGTGTAGAGTGTTGAGTTTTAGGGCCTATTTTCTCATCTTTGGGTTTTCCATTCAACTAATCAGCAGAAAGGGCTGGCTATTCCCTAAACTGTAAGCACAAAACCTGTTTCTCAGCAGCTTAAGTCAGCTAGAAACAGAACAAGGGAGAGTTCCTAATTGTTACTAAATGGCCTCAAACTAGAGAGAACAAGGTCAAAAAGCCTTTTTCAGCAGATGTGGTCTTCTCATTTCTTAGAGGACATATTTCACATAATTTGTCTGAAATCTCCTGGAAAACAATTAGGTTTTTGTAAAGGCCAGAAGAAGGATTAACCCAGGAAACCAGGTGTTGAAAATCCACTTCTAGATTGTCCCACATACCTTGTGGGTTTAAGTGCCACAGTTTCACACCTCTTATTACTTAGGCTGGCAGTAAATTTAGCAAGACATATGTAGCAGAAAGCCTATTCAAACCCATCCTTTTGAAGAAAAGTCCTGTTAAAATGTGGTTCATTTCCCATGTAACAAGGAAAACAACACTAGGACTTTAACATGAAGCAAGACTGTGTAAGTGAAGTGATTAAAACGATAAGCGAGATAGTGCTTCACAGAGGGAGCTGTGGGTTACTGAGCTAATCAGACTGGCAGATTCTGAACCCTGTCTGTTCTCATCCAGGCTCCACCCAGCAGGAAAGTCTCTTCTACAAGTTTTGATTTTAAATTCTCCTTTGTGGTACCTTTGTAACAGGAGTTTGCTGTTCCCCAGCAGGATTCATCCACATAGTTCCTTCTTCTAGCTGAGAGGTTTGAGTGATCACCTCCTGCAACAAGAAGGGACAACATTACCCCTGGAAAAAACATCTTGTTTCTTAAAAGCAATCTTCATCAGGAACCAAGAACTGCAGAACAGCAGTGAAGAGGAGCCTATAGGCAGTGCTGGCTGTAAAGCCTGTACAAATGATTCCTGCTGTGCCCGGTGCCACTGCTTGCTCCGTGCTTGCCCCAGTAAGCCTGGGCAGAGGCGTAGCAGCCAGGTAAGGTCCACCCTTTGCATGACACATGGGGAGGGAAGGCTCCTGGCCCTGACTGTTAAAGGAACCGTCTCCCATACACACACCCTATTGTTAATCTTTTACCTTGAAGCACATTTCTATTTAATACTTACTCTAAGGCTGCATACATCACATCTCTAAAATTAAGAAAACCTCTAATAAACAAAATGTTCCCTTAGTAAAGAAACTCGTACTGCTCAAGTAGTTTTCACTTCCTTCCTATGATTTACTATGATTTTTAAAATTTTGATAATGAGTTCCTGAAGCACTTTCTCCATCCTGTGCAGTTATTTGTAGTCAATGGTAAGTCAAAACTGTAGTCCCAACTTTGCACTATGTGCAGCATAAACAGCTGAGATATCAGCTGCTTTTCTTTGCTCTGCACCCTTCTTACCTGGGACAAAATGCCATCTTGCTCCATTGTGGTCATTGTCATGTACACGTCCAGTGTTATCTCTGACACTGCAATTTCACATCTCCCAGCTTCCACAGACGCCAATAGTTTAAGCGTCTCATATGCAGGTGAGCAACTATTTTATAAACTGACTCAGAGCCCCACCTCTGCCTGATTTCTTAAACCCACTTATTCCCCTCCCATTTTCTTATTCTAGGAAGCTGAACTCTGTGGTCAAGTAAGTAGGAATACCTTTACGTATAGAGCAGGAGGAAGTATGCAGTTTGAGTCATTTGCCCAATGCTGGCCAATAGCAAGTTTATAACTAATGGTAAGAGAAGGATGCCCTTTTATCTGAGCACCGAAATTTCCACTTCGTGAGACCTCAAAACCTACAGAAATACTCTGCAATAAAATACGGCAACAGTATATTAATTGGGTGTAGATTATCCATGACAGTAAGCTGGTAGGATAAAACAACTAAAGAAAAAACAAAAGGAGGCAACACTATTGCTCTCAGACTAAACTGGTTCTTGCAAAAGCCAGTTTAAGGCTTTCTGTACCACATGTCTCTCCAATCCCAAGTCTACATGTGCAGAGCAGACACACACATGTTATGGTTTATATGTCTCACCCTTGGTCCAGCAGGGCGGGGTCTCTCCTCGAGTAGTATTCTTTCGCCCTTCTTTCCTATGACTTACAATTATTTTTGTTTAGATGAAGAGTCCTAAAGCAATGATTTTCCTTAGCTTAGCTCCACTGCACCACTTTCCAGCTCAGACTCTGGCTGTTATCTAGATGCATTTAAGAGCCTATGTCTGACCCAATGAACTCTGCCAGCCAGAGACAAAACTAAGCACCGAATGCACTCCATCCTCTGAACCATCCTCAGCACCCCTGTGAAGCTGCTACAGGACACTTGTGCCTGCCCTGTGAGCACCAAAATGCCTCCTATACCACTGAAGCCAGCACAGCTCCCAACTCACTGGAGTAGGGTTAAAAAGGACAGCCAAAGACTGTTGTATCTTTAGCAGGTCATAACAGACCAAAATCTCTGAGGGAATGGAAAACTTTGGCTTCCCTGCTCTCCTGGTAGGTTGTCTATGAGCAAAAAGTTACCTAATCCCTAAGCATTCTGGAATTTACTGGTTAAATGTTGCTACCAGACAGCACAGCCCCCCTTCGCTCATTCCCATGCAAAATAGCATCAACAGTCATCACAGTCAACTTGGTAGAATAAGTTTTTGCCATAGGGTATGTTACTTCACAACACCATGAGGAATTGTGTCTACATATATGGCATGGTTCCCCCATGTGCCAGCTGCAATTATGTAGCTTAATGAAATGCATTTTTCATTAGGTCACAGAGAACTCTTGGCAACTTTGGCATCTTTCAGTCATAGTTAAAGGCAATGCTTTATTACGACAACTCCTTGGAGGGCTAAGCTATAAACCAGACTGTCCACCAGGACTGGAGCTCTGAGACTGCTGCTCACACAGCACCAGTGGCCAGAAAGCTCTCGTTTTCATGAATAACATTGGCAATCCACACCAGAGAGAGCCCTTATGGCAGGAAGGCACTGTGGCTCACTTTGTACCCTTGAATCTGTTTCTGAGACATTCCTTTACCCATGACGCTCACAGCAAATATTTTCTATGCTCTTTGCAGAGATAACAACAGTTTTGTTTTCCTGGAACAAGGAACAGACTGTGGACCTGGAGCGTATTATGAAATGCCTGAATATGTGGAGCAAGGCAGAATTACCATTTCGCAAACAAGCCTTTATTGTCCAGTATTGTATACACAAAATATTTGCATGTAAATAACATTTCTTCAGAGCTGGAGGTGGTACAAGTTTATGGCTACGAACTCTGTTTATTTTTTCACACCAGGGATTTCAGGTTCAAATGGAGGCAATTCCCAGGGTTATATGCAGAGCACACAGCATCATATTTCTGATTATGACTAGTGAAACTACCAAACAAAAAAATCCCACCAAAAGTGTGTATTTATTCAAAACCTAAAGAGTTTCAAATGTTAATATTTATGCCCTGATCTTTAAGCTTGCGACATTAGGCTGGAGTTGCACAAAAAAGTAAGGTTTGGTCTGACATCATAAATGACAAAAGTGCTGGCAAAAGTCATTGTGAACCAATTTGCAGAGATAATTTGTCATTGCTTCTTGACAAAATGAAGATCCTCACAATGCCATTTTGCGCCAAGCCAAACATGTTATTTGACTGTAAATGAAACCTGTTATTTTCAGGTTGGCTTCCCTGGGCTGACGAGGTAGGCAATCTATTAAAAAGAAGCTATGTTTCAAAAAAAAAAAAAATGGTGTCTCATAGAACATTAGCATGAAATGTTTCAACTTACCCAGGCATTTTCCCTGCTTTATTTTAATCCTGGACTATGACATCTAGTTGATAGATTTTCCTTTTTCACTGAATAGACTCTCTGTGCAGAATTTTACCAGCTGTCATTAGGACACACAACTCATTCACAAAAAAAGTGTGTTTGCAATTTGACTTGATCCTGCAATGCAAAGGTTGTTATGGACTCATAATTTTTACAGGTCACCTGCAACACTTTCAACAATTCAAAAAAGACATTTTCCATAAAAGGGAAAATGAAGAAAGTTTAAAAATGCAAACCCACAACAAATGTTAATGGTGGGTTTGTGCTAGATCTCATGGAGCATCTGTCCAGACTGTTTTAAGATGGTCTTAGTTGTTGCAGACTACTCACTCCTGTTTATCTACACTTTAAACAGGCAGGACGAAACAAATAAGCATTTTTGTTGGCAAGTATGCATCCTAAACTATTTAAACAAATTGTATTGAGTAAATCAGCAAAGTTTTCATTGTCTACTGGCAGTAAAATATTTTCATTTCAAGCACTTTTTCTTTTTCATTTAAGAAAGGAAATTTAATATGAGAAGTAACTCAACTGGGGAAGAAAAATCCAGGGTGTTTTATTTTGAAAGCTGCAAAATAAACTGTTGACTCTTTTATATACTGGCTCAACACAAAACAATCAAACCTGTGATATAAATTCACAGGAAATTTTGATGTGCCCAAATTACACCTTTCGCTTTAAAAAAACTTACACCACTTCCTCCTAAGTAGCTCCTTCCCATCTATGTATAGCCTAAGAGAGGCCAGGAGGTGGACATGATTCATGGGGCTGGCTGTGTGCACACACTGTCCCTCTTACACTTCCAGCCTCTGCAGCTGCTCTTTAGGACACTTGCGAAACAGAGTTGACCCAGGGATCCAATGCCATCTTCTAGTTGTGTCTCAGGTTTTCTTCCTTTTCCAGGGTTGGATGCACCTTGTGTTCCACAAAGAAGAATTGTAGGGAGCAGAAGTTTATACTCTCTACTTACGGCTTCTAGGTGTGTTGATTGAGTTGTACCACTGTGGCACTATGGTGCTAAAAAATTATTTTCCTATATATCATACAATATAAGTTAGTCTTAAAGTAACACTATTTAAAAAATCTAACAAGGATTTTAGGTTAAAGAGTGTTCTACAGACAACCTTAATTTAGCGAACAAAGCATATGTAAGAATGTCCCAGGCAATGTCTTTGCCTATAGAGGCCACTTCTTGGGAATGGAAAAAAAAACCCCAACAAACCACGGAGCCACCTGGGGTAGTTTCTTTCTGTAGTGCAGAATGGCCAGTGTTCAAAACTGTCTGTCCCATCTGTGTCCTAGAGCATGAAAAGCTCCTCTGAGAAGATAGGGGCAGTTGGAGGGGTGATTAGCACGTATTTTGTCTTCTCCTTTCCATTGCTATCTGCAAGGCCTGCTTAATCATCTGTGAGTTGTTCAGGATGTTGTATTCACTGAGGTTCAGCAGCCTGCGGTAATTCTCATCCGTGTACCTGACCGAGAACATGCAGTAAGGGGAAAAACGACTGTCCAAATCAAGTTGTCCTTCCTCCATCTCTGAGCAACAGCGCTTGACACCTGCAGGGAAAGAGAATTTGCTGCTGGTGTTTACCTCAGTCAGTGACAAACTGTCCAGAGCAGCCCAAAGAGGGGCACTTTTCTCTGGAAGGAAGTTTATAGGGTTTAAATGCACAAATAACACAGGTCACATATTCCCACCCCTGGTCAAGAGAACACTCTGTGTCTGACGTGATGAGGGAAGAAGGAAGTGAGGGATGGCATTGTAATGGTCATCTACAGCTTACTCAAACACCTGCCTCATTAACCCGTGGATCAGTAAAGGATATCAACCTGAAAGCGTACTCCAATAGCCAGTGTACTGCAGGCTTTTTCCTGAGCAGCTGTGACCTCTATGTTTTCTGGCTGAGGGAGGTGAGTTGCTAGTAACAGAATAGAATTTATGAGAAAGAAGGAAGAAACATACAGAAACTTAAAGTTCCTTCCATCCTGAATGCAGTCCCAGGGGGCTGCCACCAGATCCATTTCTATTTCCTTTGTCTCCCAAATTCATCAAAAGCAGAATTTTAGCCTTTACCTCCCTGCTGCCAAGGAGAAAAGCAAATACATCCTAGTAACTTATAGTAAAGGAGAGGAATACAAAGCAAGTGGCCTGGCAGAAAAAGAATGACAAGCCCTGAGCACGGCACAGTGAGGAAAATGACCCCTGCACCAATGCTGTACAGAAAGGAGACACACTGATCTTGACACCACAGGACTTCAGCCTGAAAGCCAGGTTCTTGCTCCCCCACCATTCATACGTGACACTATGCCTCCTCAAGTGTAGAATGAAAATCCCTGAACAGCAGACAATATATGCAGGGGAAAATAATCTGAGATAGCTATACTTTTTCCCAGGAAACTTTTACAATTAGCTGGTAACACTTTATGCTACAAATGAGAAAGAGGTGAAGGTAAACGCCATCCAGAAGGGCTGTGTCTGTCCTTATAGGACCACAAGACTGACATTAGTGAAAACAGTAGCTTTGGCAGGGATAGGGAAAAGAAGTTTACTTAAGGTGCTGCCCCATGAACCCAGCCATCAAAGACAGCCAGCGGCAGATAAAAAGGCTCTGAGTCAGGAAAGCAGGAAGAGGTGTCTTTTGTTCAGTACTTTGCCACTACTTGTAACTTACCAGGTGCTTTGTACTCTCGGAAGGTATCATTCACAAGGGGAAGAAAAATCACAATCGGACATCCTGGCAAATCTGAATCTTGGAAGATGTAGCACTCTTTCAGATTTTTCTTATCTTCATCAGTCAAAGAAATTTTGGGGAATGGGATTTTCTGCTCTGAGTAGTATTTGTACGCCTTATCTAGAGACTGGAGGATCACAGAAATGGTCAGCACTGGAATTCAATTTCGTTGTGTTAAAGCCCCCAACTTGTTATCTAATATTAAGGCTTAGTGACTCAGATCCATAGGATGAGTTCTTTCTTATCAAGGGTTACTCTACACATAATTACCACAGATAGTAACCAGAATGCTAATCACAAGCTGTAAACATGATTTCAGTTACAGAATTCATCCAAGACACTGCCATTTAAAAAAAAATGGGAACAATTTGCAGAAGTTTACCATGTACTTTTAGTAAAGGAATGAACCTGTGCTTAAATATATGGTATAGAATTTATTAGAAAAGAAAACTACAGTAAGAAAATGTTCAAGGTACCTTATTATGTGCTTGGAAGCCAGGAGATAAGAAAGGTAAGCTTGAATGTGCAATCATGTCACTGCCTGTGCAGGCATTAACAGTGTTAATTGAGATTGATATTTTATTGAGAAAGTCTGAAATGCTGGGCTATACTGTACCTTCTCCCTGCAATGTTTAATACAATATCATGCCCTACTATGTACTGTGTTATTATTCACTCTCAATTATGTCATAGTGGACACTATCAAATAGGAAACAATATCTACTAAAGCTCTTAAAATTGCAGCAGCTTTCCTTCATAAGATTAATCTAGACAATGTATGAGGCTGAAATGAAAAGTCAGGATAAATTATTTCCTCATCCTTATTCATACTCCTATGCATGGTCTGAAAACCTGTTTAATTCAGCATAAAACAGGAAAGGCTCTTCCCATCAATCTGGAAATGACCACCCTGATATCCTCTTGAATAATGAACATTCAACATGTTCATAAACCAGCAAGAGAGACTGCAGGAATGGCAGGAAGAACTAGGAACAGTGTTAATCACTGCAGTAGAAAAATGTAGGGGAATGCAGCAGTTAAAAACTGAACAGTCAAAATAACTAGCAGTTCTAGGCACTACAGGCTAGACAAGGAGAAACAAGACAGGGTAATAACAAAATCCTCCTCACCGATGTATGTGATCCAGTAGTATAACTTAAATATATGATGACATCCACTTCCCTCTGTGGCCTTAAAAGTGGTGGACTGCTGGTATTGATGAAAAATCCAGCATCTATCATGCCCAGGAGATCAGAGTTTTCCATCAGCTGGTTGGGACGTGAGTCTAACACAGTGTCTAAAAGGAAAATATTTCTTGGAATAAGAAATGATCTGGAGGCATTTTGACTGGAAAAAGAAATGCAAGGTGGAACTGACTGTCCCAGTGGCCTGTTAATTGCCATACTATTGCGTTGTGAAATAGACATGGGAGGGACTGCAAAATGCCACCTAAATTCCTGTTCTGAAAAATCCTCTATGTTGAGTTTCCAGGCAAGAAATTCCAGTAATATGTCATATTCATTAGGGCCAGTAAACTACTACTAATACATAACTTAAACCTGCCTTTCTTCATTTCAATCATTGTTTCACCTTTTATCCATTACTGATTTGTAGAACACAATATCCCATCCCTTTTTATGTTTGGATTTATGCCTCCCCCTCTTTTTTGGACTACAAAGCCCCATCCCTTTCCAGCTTTCTCTCTTAGGTCATATTTTCTGGGATATCCCAGTTGCAACTGAAGTTAGAGGCATAGTCTTTCCAAATAAAGCTTTCTTCCATGTTCACTCTACTGTTTGTTACTTTAAACTTGGCTCTGCCAGCTGCAAGCCTACCCTCTCAGTCTGGACCACAGAGATCTCAGCTAAAGCACATAAACACATGCTTATACCTAAAAAGTCTTAAATACCTAGTAAGAATGAAGTCTTAATCTCATCTTTCCATTCAGAAAATAAATGTTCTTTCAGAGACTTTTATTTCCCTGCAAAGCCTGACGAGGTTCCTTCCTAAATTCCCCTCCCCAAAATCACCTGAAAATGATGCCCGTTAAATGTAAGTCCCCATCACCTTTCCATCGACAGAAGTGCTCATTCTCCATGTAGTTGTTATGCAGCTGGTAGCCCTTCAGGAAGTTGTGGTGCTGGGCCACGGAGAAGCGGTCGGTCAATGCTCCCCGAAGGGCGCTGGACAGGGGGCCAGGAGGAGTGTACATGCGAGTCCTCAGCTCGTGGGGTCTTGTAGGCAACACTGGGTCTTCATCTAGAGGAGGGGAGAAAAACTGGTGAACCTGTTGTTAACTGATGTGCATTTCTGGTTGTCCTGGTGCATAGGAGATCTCAGAGGTTGTTCTGGGATGATGAATTTAATACACAAAAACTGCTCTGAAGGAGATGTGTGGCTGCTGGACAGAGGTCTGCTGATGGTCTTAAGTTTTGGCCTCAAAACAGTTCATCAGAAGCAGTCTTTAAAGGGACACCTCTAAGGAAATTAAGGGATTCAGAGAGTGTCCTGTCAGAAAGTTACACATCCTCACAAGAAGATATTAGGAAACAGAGGAAAGCATGGAGAAAATGGGGGGTGAAGCACATGCTCCCACTTAGTCAGATGGGCAACAAGAGGGCACCACAGGGTTTATTTCAAGAGTGACAGCTTCTATCTGATAATCACCCATGGCTACATGAGTGTATGTTTAATCAGTAGAATGTCAGCATCCCAGGAAAACCTGGGGCATGCATTCATATTTAAAAACTACAGGGTGGCTACATGACAGCATATGTGGGTGAAAAGTAGAAATGGCCCAAGGTGTGGTTTCTTGAAATCACAACCTGCTTTGCCAGAACAAGTGGCTGGCTGACAATGCAGCAGGAAAGAGTTGGTGGTTTCTGTGATTACGCAGATGTATGTCTTTATTTTCAGGATGTCTGTAATTGCAGTTACTATCATATTAAATGATTTAGCAATAAACCCATGGTTTCTGTATTGCTTCAGAAAATACCCTCTGGGCCTCCTTTATCTTTTCACCAAGATGAATCCAAATAACTAATTCATGTATTCAGTAATAAAATAAAAACCCAGGAAATATCGATTAACTGATTGATATTCTGGTTTCTTCTCTGCACAGGCAGTAAAAATAGCTTTATTCTCTGCCACTGCTTCTAGTTTCTGTATGGCTGAGTGAGAATGTGCAATGCCAAAACACTTCCTGAGAAATGTGTGACCCCACTAAAGTGTCCTCTTAAGGACAGAGCTTTTTAATCAGTAGGGTTTTAATAAGTCTAGTAATTAGACCAGCATTTCCCTGATTACCCTCTTCCTCTTAGTCTTTACAGTGGGAGGGGAAGTCACTATCTCTTAGGAGGATCCTATGATGCTGGCTTCATCGTAGTTAACAGGGTGATACCAAAAGGCATCAGAATAAGTGACCACAAATGAAAGGCTTAATAATATCTCACCAACTTCTTCTATTCTGTCTTGTGTCCATCTCTTCCAGAAGTCCTCCGAACTGTGGGACAATCCCCATATTTGTAATAGGTTCACAGAAAATATACTGCTCCACATACCTGTAAAAGGATTAGTGAACACAAGGACACGTTCTAACAAGAAGCTGTTTTTCTCCCTTCTATTCTCACCTCCTGGATGAATTTTTGAATGAGCCTAATTGAAACATTTCTAAACTTTTGAGCTATGAAATTCCTCTTAACTTTCTATGGCATTGGTTCAGGTCATGCTGCTGTAAGTTCTGCACCTAACCTACTGCATGGCTCTGCTGCATAGTAGAGAGAGAAGAATGGGAGAGAAGTAAATGAGAAAAAAAACACTCCTTTGAGAAGCAAAGTAAGAGCTCAGATAATGCAGACATCACAAAAATATCGCCTCTATCCCTGTCTTCCTTACTCCAGCTTCTTTATCTGCACATCTCTGGTCAGCTTTCACGCACCCTGAACTCTTCCACAGCAGAATGAACTGGCTCTTGAACCATTTGGGTTGTAAGAGAAGATCTCACACCACAACGAGTGGTGCTCACAGATGTACAGATGCTCCACTGTGCACTCTTTTCTACTTTCAGGATTGCCCCTCTCTGCCTCCTCACAAGGGGAACTGGTGCCTTTGTTCATAAAACATAATGCCACCATTTCATTTACCATTGTAAATATAAATATCTGTTCTGATCAGTCCAACACAATTAGACTTCTTAATTTTCAAGGGCACAGAAGCTAGTACAGCATACAAAGTATATAAAAAATGAATTTCCCACTAATGGGCCAGGTAAGAAAGGCCATCCTAAGAGGTAGTATCTTAAAGATACTCCTTGGAATTATGGACTATTCAGCACAGCTGAAACCAAGGAGCTTCTAAGCAGCACAAGTGTAAGATGAGATGACTGAAACCAAACTCACACTGCTCTGTGTTCACTTCCCAGTGATTGACTCCTTGGTAAAGGGATATTATTACTTTCATACACAACCCATAAGTACAAGTCAGGGACTGACCCGAGAGGTTCAGAGACCCTTCGCTTCTGGCCTCATCTTTTGTCCTGGGCAGCCTACATCTTTAGTGGATGGGGTTCTGTGTGTGGAGTTGAAGTTAAACCTCATAGTGAAGGCATAGCTGCAGGTTTCCTGCTTTCTCAAAATATGTTGGAAAGAATTCAGAGAGGAAACAGTGGAATATTCCATCTCTAACATTAAAAAAACCCCAACAAATGTATATACCAAAACAGTGACAAGAAACTGAAAAAAAAAACAAAAGATGTAGGGTTTTTTACTGTATTATTTTGGACAAACTGCAGCACACCCCCATTTGCTGGCAGGTGCTATCATTGCAGCGTTCAGTACCTTAGACCAGAAATATCCACCCTCTCGTTGACATTGTTACACCCCTCCAAAGCACCTCTGTACCAGGACAGTGCAATACATCACCTTGCAAGTAGCATATCCGGGACTCAGGGAGCTTTTTCAACAAGCGTCCCATGAAGAACTCACTTCCGAAATGCTCTGTGCGGACGAATGCGCCATACTTGGGAAGTCCCACCTCGTAGGGAGTGAATTCCACCCACTCTGCAATACAGCCACAACGGAACACTTAGAAGGCTCTCAGGTGGGTGTGGAAAGAGGGGCAGCTAAGGCATACATTGGTCTGATTTCTGTTCTCTCTGCTGCATTTGCCAAGCCTTGCTTATAAACAGCAGCCTGCGGGGCCAGGCAGCTGAGCTGAGACACTGTGACAAAGGGGGGGGCAGGAACAGTTATGCTGCTCATGGTAAGTTATGCTGCTCATGGTAAGTTATGCTGCTCATGATAAGTTATGCTGCTCATGCTCTGTGCCAGGAGCACAGAAAGGCTCCAGTTCTTACACACTTTTTGTGTATGCACCAGTCCAAGGTTCACCAGCATGCACAAGGTTATGCCACTGTTATCAGTACAGTTAATTCAACTTCCCTTGAATAATTTGGTTATGTGCAGACAAAAACTCAGCTATTCAGAAATCAGTTTGTAAGGAGGCCAATTATACTCTTAATGTGTAGTACTAAGGAAGACAGAACTTGTTCTTGTCTTCCTTGGATACCCTCCTCAAGTGAAGTGCAGTTGTCTAATCTTAAGGTCCTTTCCAACCCTCTATGATTCTATGATATAACTGCAGTGTGAGCAAAGACTGGGACAGAAAGGTCATGGGGCATAATATCCTTTTTGTTCGGAAGTGGTTCATTTTTTCTCCTCAATCAGAAAAAATCTGAACTGAATTTCTTCTTTGCCTCTTCTCCTCCTCCAGTTACTTCTCCTCATGCAAAAAAAAGAAATTACCAGAACAATGAGAAAAGAAAAGGATTCAGTTGGAAGGCTGGATGCTTTCCCAAACTTTACCATAACTGTGGTCTTTCTTCATATTGAAAATATAACTGGACATTGACAAAAGTGGTATTTGATTCTCAGACAATTCCAATACTTTTTATTTTAGATGCATCAGATAATATTTCAAAAATGGCCTTTCTGGCAGGATTTCTACTGTGTATGTCTAGACAGTGAAATGCTGATCTCAAAAAGCTCTTGTTAAAATTATAAGGCATAGAAATGGTGGTTCTCTCTCAAAAAGGCAACTAACACACCAGGACTGTTTTCTCCAGGTGCTGCCAAGCAGAGAACAGTGAATCACAGGAATCCATTTGCCAGTTTTAACCCCACAGGATCTGAAACATCATTCTTACCTTTGAAATCATTGGTGCTGTAGCTGTTCCTGACATTGACTGACACATAGATGGGCAGTGGGTTCTGGCCATCACACAGTGCTTCTTGCTGTTCTGAAAGTTTGTGGGGGTCTTTCTGGTTTTGACGAAAAACAGTTATGTGAGAAGAGATGGAAACTACATGGTGAATTCGATGGTGCTGGGGGAGCCAAGTGGGTCTCTGCCCCCAGCACACAGGGCATGCCATAGCAGCTGCATTGCACAGAGCACTGCAGCCACCTATCAGCCTGTGGGAGACCAGTTTCCCAGGGTCTGTCCTGGCTGGGTAAGGGTTCACAAAGAGACAAGGGGAGGAAAAACTACTTCTGTGTACATGACTATATGTACTACAATGAACTGCCTTGGAAAGCAGGAGAAGGGGCAAGATGTCCAATAGAATGAGGGATGTAGTGAGCAGTCCTTGCTCTCCAGGGCCTGAAGGAAGCCCTCGAGTATGTCGGCAATGAGTTTCCTTTGATAGCACACAACAGCTATCACAGTCCTGCCTTGCAAAGGGACTGGAATTGGCCAGCAAATTATTTGCATCCCACCCAGCTTTTCCGGAAAAACATATTCTTACTGAAGAGGGTTGTAAAAAACATAAAATCTCATGAACTACTGATACATTTAAAAGCAGCTTGTTCTGACAGCTTAGGGAGAGGTTAATGGTTATATAACAATAGCACTGCTCAAAGGGAAAGATGTTTGGCTAGATTGGGAGGGAGACCTCATCTAGCTGATATTAAGAGAGGCTTCTCCTCTATTCAGCTTCGACCTTTTTTTAATATATAGTATTCTCTGTATGTATTTATTTTCTGTTTATATATATATTATACTATATAAGTGATTACATAAAAATAATTAAATAAATCCCCAAATGAATGGCTGAATGACTGCAGCATTTCTGCCCCCACTGAAGGACACTTCTCTTCAATCCTCAACAGCTTGTCCCTTCCCACTTCCCAACAGCCAAAGCACACATCCTTGAACTGTGCTCCATCTGGAGAGAAGAGGGAGAGGACTGCTGTACTGCAAGGGCAGAAACCACTTCAAATAACAGAAAAAGCAAATTTGTAATTGCTTATAAAATTAAGTCACTCAAACCAGCCACAGTCCTTGCCAGCACAAGTAAAATATGCTCTTGCTTCCAGTGTACCTGCAGATCAAGTTACCTGGCAGTAGATGCAAATCACCAAGCATTCTAGCTGTTTTATGCTTGCTTCAGGTGGTTTTCACATTGTTGAGTTTACCCTGCAGTTCATCATGAGCTCTTTTTGAATGTGTAATCTGCATCTTGGGCAGATGGCCCAAGATTGCCTCCACTGCTAGTTAAATACCAGCCAGAGTTCAAACAGCTGCATCCACAATCAAACGTGTTAGCATACAGGATGCATTTCTCCCTAGGCAGACTATTAACACCAATCAAAAAATCTGAGTTTGTTGTCATGAACAACTCCACTCCGTTTTGAGGTATGTTCTCTGAAATGATAGGCTGGTCTCCTCTCCACTAACCAAGAGAAAAATCCATGGTTCTCTAAGAAATGAAATATACATCATACCCCATCATTCAGCAAGTACTCAATCATGAGCCCCCAAAGATCTATAAATGATGTCCTGTATCCCTCTTCTCTACGCTGACAAAGCTGCTTGTTGTAGTATTTCATACGATCCATAGAGAAACAGCCCATCTTGCATTTGGTTGCTTGTTTCTGGGCTTCACCAATATGTGAGTCTAGATCCTTCTGTGACCAGTAAGCATCTCTGTATAAGTTGGCCATGGTCCTGGAGAAAGATAATACAGACAGCAAAGGTCAAAACGAGCAAAAAGTGACTTGATATTTTGTGCCTTTTGGGACAGAGATTTACATTTAGGGATTCACTTCTGCTCTTACATCCCCTGCTTTTGCTGTTCCATCCAGCAGAATGAACACTCCAGAGTTTCTATGAGTGTTTTACACATGGCCCAGAAGGATATTTTTTTTTATGTGCTTGAATTCTTTTTTCTAAAGAGAACTGGCAGCAGCATAAGGGATAAAATTGCCCGGTGTGAACATAGGTACATTTCTGAAGCACAAACTAGGCAGAAAATTATTATTAATTTTTAATTTGTTTATTTTCTAGAACCATAAATCAGTTCAGACCAGCTGCTGCCTCTTGGCTTTTTGTCATTTAGTGTTAATCTTATGGTATCACTATGCTTTATTTTAATACCATCCTCTATTTTACCAACCTTTCTTACATAGGACCGTCAGATGGGCCATTGTAGGTCCTGTAAGCAGGGAATAATTCTGCTCAGGGGAATGCAATCTTTTCCCAAACTGACTGGTTACAGGGGTAAATGTTCATTGTCCTGCAGTTTTCTCTGTGTAACTAGTCAGAAAGCAGACCCAGCCTCAGAAGTTACTGGGAACAACTAGGACATTGGTGGAGAGAGGAAGATGCATGATGCTATGGGCATCCACAGATACATCCACAGTACCTACCTATTTGACAAGTGTAATTGTCATATACATACTTAACTGCTGCAAATGTGGAGTTGAAAAGCACTGTTAAGAATTGCTAAGAAAAGGTTGGTGCTTCAGATCAAGTTAATATTCAACAGCCTGTTTCTACAATGTTTGAAGAAAATCTGATCTTGTCTGTTTTCAGAAGCTCCTCTCTGCAGCAGTGTCACTCTCAAAAGACCTGGTCAAGCCCCCTGCACAAGCTGTCTTACCATGTGGTGCCAGACAGCCCGCTGATGTATGTTATGCAGTCAAGGAGATTTAATTTCTTGAGTCCCATGAGGCCGCCATATAGTCCTGTCATCGACTTCAGTCCTCCACCTGTCGTGATGATAGCCACAACGGGGACCTGATGGGCATAGGAGGATAGGACATTCACACAGTGTTCAACATTGCATCCTGGACTGCAACGGAGACTGACCACCACACCCAGCCCAGGTCCTGACTCAGAGCATGGGTCCCTTTTCAGAAAGAAAGGCTCCAAAACCAAGCAGTGACTGCTACTGCTGCTTCCCTTTGGATAAACATGATTTCCGAGATTAACCCAAACCTGGGTTTTTGCCTATCTCTATGACAAATAGGGGTACAGATGTATGAGAAGAAACCCTTCTGTGGAGGCAACAATACATTTTCTCTACATTTCCCACTCCTTTGCCACTTTTTCCTTATTTCACACATCTACTACTACTGTATGAAAATCTACATCAACTCCACAACGAAACACCTTCAGTCCACAGCCATTGTTGTTAAGCCACCTTCATCAATGCTGTTATTCTTCAGTATAATGAAGTTACTTTAAAATAAATTATATTGATTTGAAGGAATTTTGAAATTGCAAGAAAAGGAAGATACTCTAAGCACTGACATTTATCCTAAACTCTCACAAAATGATGAAATTCGAACAAGGAAAGAAATCTTTGTCACGCAATGTATTTAATACAAGGTATTTCTAAACTAAGCTAGCTATAGAATAGGGTGGCAGGGATGAACACACCTCAAATCTGACATATTCCAATTTGACAGTCATGAAGAATGCAATTTCTGCAGCTAGCGTTTCTTGCAATAACAAATCTTGTCAGCTGAAGCAAATGTACTTAAGACAAATGGACAAGCTTGTACCCGCACAACAGACACGTGGTCCATTTTGCTGATGGCTCATCTAGAAGAATACATGAAGGCACTAGAAATTCAAGATCTACAAAGTCCTTCCACTTCACACTTACTTCACAATCCTCCAGATCCTGTTGTAGGTGGAAGACATTTTTCAGAGCACTTGCTACATATCTCTTCCTTTTTCTCAGGAAAGTCATCTCCTCTGAACATAAGTCAAACCCAAAGCGCATGTCCAGGTCTCGGTGGCATGAACAATTACTAAGATAAAAACAGGCACGTGTTTTACGTATTAACACACCCATATCAATTTTACAACTTTGATCAAAGGTAATCTACAGCGCCCTTCCCTTCAAACAGGGTGATGCAATGCGATAAGAGCAAGAGAAAATATTGTAGCTATTTTTAAGAGTAAGAAAAGTTATTTCAGTTAGTAAGCTTAGCCAGGGGTGTTATACCCTGTTATTACTCATGGATGAAGAAACAATGTATTCACAAATGAAAAAAAAAAAAAAAAATTGAAATTAATATTCTAAAAGCTAAAGAATTACAAATCTAGAAAATCTGTGCAAATAGTCAGAACTGAGTGCATTGATTCCCATTTCAGGGGTATATTCGCGTTCTAAATCTAAACCAAAACCCAGTTTTCAAATGTTGGCATTTCCAACGTGGTCTCGTTTTGAGCTGCTCCAGTGGGAACACATCCCCCTCTAGCGGTGATCGTCCCTGCGGAGGAAACCCATCCACCCGCCAGCCAGGCGCGGGGGGCCCCATAATCCTACTCGCTGGAGGGATAACCTGGGTGGATCCAGCCCCTGGATGGATGGATGGAAATGGGTCACTGAGGTTAGTGAGGCAGGATTTCACCTCCACTGCTCTGGTCTGTCTGCACTTGCACAAGTTGTCTCATGGGTCCACACTAGAAGTTGCACTGCACATCACCCCCGACTCAAAAATTGTAAAGCATAATAATCATCAGAAAAATAGTTCATTTATATCAATTTCATAATTTAACATCATTCCTTAAAACTTCACTGTTGTAGCTTATTCCTGTAGCATTTGTGCTCTTCCACTCACTAACCTCTCTCCTCTTCCTCCCTTGTGCGCATGTGACAACGGGCAAGAGGTCTGCCATTGATGTCTTCAGGCCAGAGCTACCCATGGACATCCTGGCTGGCCAGCTAGCCCTGAACAGGCATTGTAAATGGCAGCGGGTTGCCTTTTCTTTCAGCAACAGAACTTCTGTCTACTACTGAGGTCATAATTTCATTGAAACCAGAAAACATTGTTATGAGATTTCTCCACCATGAGATTTGGATAAAATCAGCCAAATGGTTACAAGATACTTGTAAATGAAGACATGCAAGGAGAATTAAGTTAGGTGGAGCAGGAAATGCCAGTTTCCACTGTAAATAAAGACACAAACAAACTGCTTTTAAAGTTCTCTGGAAGTAAAATAAATAAGCGGGAAGCATTTTTCCTGTCCTGGAAAAATACTGTTTTTCCCGTTGTCGTAGATCCCTTGCCTTTCTGAAATGGATAATAGAAAACATTGAATTCAAAATGAAGCTATTTCCCCCTTTTATTTTGGGGGGCATTTAAAAAAAAAAGAAAAAAGAAAATCTTGCTCAGTTCTGTGTGTTACGTATGGCTACGGGTAATCTGATATTCATTGATGTGTGTCAATCAGCATGTCTACAGATATCGAATCACTAGCCGCATTGTCTACCTTGGTTACTACGCAATGTACAGTATAACTGGACTTAACAGAATACAAGGTGTGTCACTACTGAATATTGACAGTTAAGAAAAAATACATGTTCACAATTTCTGATCAAGATTAATGTTTACTACTGTCTCCTCTTTTTTAGTTAGCTTCTGTCTTCTTGTGAATTTCAGAGACTGACATTTATCAAAAATAATATTCTGTGGTCAGAAGGGAAGCAATAATGCTAAAGTAAATGTATGTTTGTCAACATTTATTGATTAAAGTGAAATCTGTAATATACTATGCATGCATTTGATGTTTTATTAAAAGTAGGTTCTAGTTCTCTGATACAGTCTACTCGTGTCATTTCCATGTGGCTAAAACAGTATCAAAATCTGTAACCCAAGTCTTTAGGACTAGAAAATCTCTTACCAGCTTTGTGCTGTCACATTCAAGTCAAATCTTTTCTCCTGGAAAACAAGAACATGTACCACAGTTTTTTAATTTTTTTTTAGTTGTGGTTTTGTTGGGTTTTTTAGTTTTAATTTTAAAATATCTTTCTTCCCTTTCTGTCTCGGGGTCAGAGCTTGATTTAGATCCCAGCAAAGTCTGGCAACCCCAGACTTAAATGTCTGAGATCATGACCTGTATTTCCAAAAGCACTCACTTATCCTCAGTGGAACATCCCTACTAACAGACCTCAAAATGCTTCCAGGCTGTAGAAACCATTCACAATCTTGGTAAAGGAGGTTCCTGAGATTCATGCAGTAAGTCCCATTTCCCGTGTTATTCACAAGCTTTCTGCAGCATCCTGAAATAACATTTTTTATACATTTCCCGTTCTTTATGTTCTAATACAGAGCAGATCTTTGACATCCTGGACACAGTCTCACAGTGAAGAGACTGCAAGTCTGCATTTGCTTCTGCCAAGACTTCATCCTGTCTTAATATTTTTATTGCAACCTTCATATTAACTGACAAAAAGCTCTCTGGTCTGAGGTATGTTTTACTGACCCTGAAATCCAGTGTTCTCCTACTCCTAACTAATATTTGGACAAGATCAGCCCTAATAATCTGGATATCTGTAACAGAAATATTTTTTTATATAGTAAGGATCTTTTTCTTCTATTAATTTCATTCAAAATTGTAAAGTACATACATGTATTTCAAGCAATATTCTTATTACATTCTCTAAAATCCACATGCTATGCCTAGTATTTTCAATGTACTTTATTGTCCTTTTAAGCACATGGTTTGCTAAGGGAAGGTTTACTGGCTTTTTCCTATCTTCTGTCCAAGGAGCAACTTTCCATTTGGACCCTAAGAAAAGGTCAGTGAGTCTTTGGGTAAACAGGGAGAGGTGGAGTGAAGGAATTGTCATATGTTCTGACATGCTAGTTGGTCTCTGTATTCACTACTGGCACATTAGTCTTGTCCTGGCTGAACCCAGGGCAAGACTAATGGAAGGACAACCTGCTTCTGGGATAAAACAGGTGGATAAACAAAGCTCCTATTTGTTAAAGGTCTGAAGAAAAAAATTCTAACATTTCTGACTCTCTTAGCATCTATCTGGGACAATATTATGGGGAATGCTTACCACTTGAGTGACCTTTTATTCCTAACATCTAGAAGTGATGCTCACCTCTGCAATGGTTGTTTGCCTTCCCATGGGCAATGAATTCAGCATCAGGGCTGGGGAGCCCGTCTCTGTAGTATACTGACAGGTCCACTGGGAAAACAACATGCTTTAGGAGAAAAACAGTAATGGCTTTACCCTCTCCCCCTCCTCCCACATTCTAGACTGGTACTCATGGTCAGTTCATTATTAAGGCCAACATACAGGGTGGTAGCGCCTCTTCTTTGGCAACATGACATCTAGTGTTGGCTCTGAATACTTGATATAGTGGAACTTGGTGGGACCCGACGGGCTGGCTGCTCCATCAGGGCCCAGTGTGATATCCTGCGTTCCCTCAAAGGAGCCCTTCACAGTGAGAGAAAGCTCTTTCTCTAAAAAGGCAGAAAAAAAAGTAGTGAGAAATGTGTGTTGGCTTGATTAAAAGTGGGGTGCAGGTAGCAGAGCTGTAGATTTTGGGTCACAGCTTTGTCTAGTGGAAAAGGCTCTGAAGGGAGCACTGGCAGCAAAGGGAAAAGAGCAAAGGAGATGCTATTTTCATAAAATGGGGACTCAGTATTCTCGCTGTTATATAGATCTAGGATTTCATCTTTAATGCATGTATATTTACATACACCTAAGGGAGTATGAGATGCAGTCATTGAAGTCTGTAATAATCTTATTTATTTACCTGGTGTTAACTGCACTTAATGCTGTAAACACTTTTTATTCCACTAATACATTATATAAAAAAGGCATCACCTCATCTGTAATCATGCAGTTATTGGTAAATAGATAACAAAGCAATAACCTTACTTGATTTTTGCTGCATCTTCTCTGCCACTTCAACTTCCAAGCAACAAAGTTCACGACACTGTAAAAGGCAGAGAGCAGGAATCTGTGAGAAAGATCATCACAGCCCAACTTCGTTACTGAGAACTGTCAATAACTCAGCTTTTGGACATGTCTAATTACCCAAAGTGCGTAATCCCCTGGCACTTTTGGGCTTTTGCCCAGTAACCACTGACTAATAAAAAGGAAAAGCTTTGGAAGTTGTAGAGCACCCTCCAGCTACAATGATACACAATTTGGACAAATGGGAAATAACAGGATGTCATCAACAAATAGGGCAATAAAATATCCCATTTTCAAAGCATATACAGAGGAAAGAGGGACGAAAGAGGGACAAAAGATAAAGAACTGATCTACTGGCTTCTGTAACCCCCACCTTCCTTCCCCTTTATATTAAGGGGATGCTTAGAGAGAATTTCTTGGGAAAAAGACACATACCACCAGCACTCCGTTGGTAGCAATGGTTTCATGAGGACCAGAACTGGGAAACAAAATGAAAAACATGGGGTTTTTTAGATGAAACAAATGCCCACACGTCCTTGCCCAGGGTGTTTCCCTTTGTCCCCTATTAGAAGAATGACAGCCAGAGAGACCCCAGCAAGTATGCAACAAGCTCCTTTCCATGCTTGCTTGAACTGAACACTGCTCTGACGGGACTTCCCTCTGTTACAAAGCTGAGCTATGTGCATCATAGCTACTTTCTGCAGCACAATCTCATGATCATCTAAACTGGAATCTGTGGTTAGGCAGTCAAGTTCTTCTCCTTACTAGAACATGTAAGTACCTGTAATTTAGCTGTAACGTGCCATAGGCCAGCATGACCATGTTGGGAAGCCCAGTTCTATTTATATGTTGGTATGCAAATACAATTAAGGCGGCACAGGACAGTGGGTACCAATCATAGGGGAAAAAGGAAAGCTTTCCAGATCTTTCAGGTGAAGCCAGGAGGTGATGTGGAGTGACCTGAATTTTGGTCTTGGCTCTTGGCTAGAATTAGGGCTGACCTTGGGCTGGTCACTTTATTTCTGCCATGCTTTGGTTACCATATGGCAGCAGAGACAAAAATACTAATTCATGTGGATGGCAAGATGACAATGCTGGACAAAAAGTTCTGCACATTGTCAGTGTGTTGGGCATAAAGAAAACAGAATTACTAGAACCAAAACAGTGCTGTAAGGGAAAATTGAAGAGTCACAGATACACTGCAAACCTAACCAAGATGGCTCAACATCAGGAGTCTGTCCAGTGCGTAAGCTGAAAGAGGCATGGAAAAATTGATAGACATGCATGCACTCACACGCAGGAATTCTTCTGAAATGTCTACAAGTTGACAAACTTGACATTGTGGATAGAAGAGACAATGCTGGGAGGTGCACCTTCGGAAACAACTAAACTGCAGAACAAGCTGACTGGAGAGATCAGCTGGGTGTCTTTGAATGCAGTAGTGGTGTAAGAGAAGCCTGACACTTTTTTACAGAAACCCCACAAAGCGTGACTTCTAATGCTGTTTCTTTGGTTTAGCACTTAATGATTTTTTTGCATTTTTAAAAATAATGTGTGTATCACTTACGCAGCCTCCAATTTGAATTCAACCTCTAGCTCCTCCGTAGCCTGAAAGCAAAACCAAGAAATTAGATGAAGTAGCTACATGATGCTTTCTCCCTTCTCTTAACCCTGATACACAATACTGAAGTAATTGCAGCGCTCAGGCTGTGATAAATATTTTAGACTGGAAGGTCTGAAACAACATCTCAAACCAAATAGTTTAATGATTCCTTCCTCAGCAGTTCATTTCTCTAAGATATCATCAAAACAACCTGTATTTTTATCTCTTAGTGTGAAGGTGCTGCTGAACTTGCTGGAACTTGCTTTGTCTTCTGAATCCTACCTTCTTCTCCCAACTATTCCTGACAGTATCTTGCTTTAGCTTACTGTCATTGCTATTAGTTTGGAAGCTAAAGGTACTTTCCAGCCATAACTGTAACATAATAAACAGAGATTGGCATTATTTAGTGACTCAGTTATAGTTTTGCAACCTGTAAGCCAGTGCTGATATATATGAGCTAGTGAGTGAACTAGTTTGGGTATCAAAAACAATCGACCTATGGTATCAAGAAGGTACATGGAAGATATTTCACTGATCTCATAGGCAGATCTCAAAGGGAGTCAAAACTCTTCTTCTTATTTTATAGATAGGAAACTGAGAAACAGAGTAAATCAGTCATCCAGAGCTCCAAAACCGCACTAATTCCCATAGACAAGTCAGCAGGCTCAGTCCTAGCTGAGGTGTCAATGCAGAGGACAGCCCTGGGATACATACAGCTTTGCCTCTGGGATGAAAGCAGATATAATGAAATGAAAGTAGATGTAATCACGTGGAATGTAATTCACATGGAAAAAATATTTACAGATTATTCACCCTGCAGCAGCTATGCAGCCTTGGTGTTGCACAGAGGTAGCTCACAGTCAGATCCCTCCCCTACCTCCTGCACTGTTTCAGTCATATGCTTTATTATAATAATTTATAAAAAAACTAGGAGGAGGCACTTAGGCTGTCAAATGCAGATTTTTACCACATTTTTTGTGTTTATATTTTGAACAGAAATTCCTTACTGGGATAAGTCATCCATGGCAGATTCAGAAAGCTAACCCCAAGATTTTGAATATGTTGTATAACTCTCCACTAGCTTCTTAGTTGCTTTATTTTTTGCTCTCACCTGTGGGCTGGCCTTAAAATACAGGAGCACTGTTCTTTCTATTGGAAGTTTAGCAGTATCAAAGAGGGCACAGAGGAGATGGTCATCTGGAGTAACAAAATCCTCATCATACACTGTCAGCTCCAGCACGTTCTGGGAAAAGAGAGAGAAGTGCTTTTTATAGTGCTTACATTCTGGATATCAGTAAGTCTAGGGAAGACGGGGTATTGGGGATGTGCTTGATAAGAAAAGTGGAGAAATTAAGAATCATCCCCCTTTGGACAAACATATTGTAAATTGAATATTCATTCTTCCCTAGTTCATTTTAATTGCTGCAATGTGAGTAGTACATTGGCTATACTTCATGATAGCTTAGTTAACTCCCAAATTCTGTATCCATCTTACACTGACTTATATGAGTCTCTAGCTACCCTAAAACTCCAATACTGAGCTCAGTTTCTGGCCCTTCTAAAGAGCTCAATTGAACAGGCATGGGAGCCCAGTTGTCTCTACTGTTAAACAGTTTGAACAGTCCCTTATCACAGGCCATCTCTGAAACAGCTCCTGGGCACAGTTCAGGTCATAGATAGGACCCACCATACACAAAATCTTCAGGCTGCTTCAAGCAGACAACTTCGGCTCCTTACCTTGACCTGACTCTGGATCCTGAAGTAGAAGGTTTCGTTCCACACTGGGTTGTTGGAGTTTCTCACAGTTTTAGTACGAGACTTTTCACATGTTGCAGTTGGCAGCCACAGCGATACGTAGCAATCAGCCTGGGTTACTGGGTAGGGAAAGAAGCCAAACAGTTGTTTATGTGGCAAAATCAGTGGTGCTGCGTGACACTGGAAAGGTTACTGCATGATACCAACAGCAAGTATAGTCATTTAAAGACAGAAATGCCTGAGGTGGTGTACCTTTTTTCAAGATAGCCTTCCAAGAAGGAAAAAGACCACAAGATGACTTGGAAAACGAGGTGGTTCTGTTCTTCCTTGCATGCGTTACAGACAACTGTGATGTTGCACGTAAAAGAAGAGGATAAGAATTTCCTCTTCTAATGAGCCAATTTCTGCAGTTTCCCCAAGAAACACACTTTCCTGCTCTCATGTGTGCATGCACACACACATATTAACCCTCAGCAGTATGATAAGAACCTGAGAGCCTCCTCCACCTTCTGAGAACACCTGCAAAAGGTGCCTAGCTCTTCCCTTCATCTTCTTGCTTTCAGTGATTTTCTTAGTGAGGATTGTGAAAGTGAGGGTTTGTGACAGCAGCTGCAGAACTCCCCCTGTTGTAGGAGACAACAGAGGCTTCCTCCAGAAGGACCTCTTTGAATCAGATATTGTATCTTAACTGATTGCCACCTCCAGAAAGAGAGGGACCGAGTCTTTCTCTGTAAGTCCACCAGGAGAAGGTTAGTGAAGGATATTCCATCCCATTTCTCAAAGGCACTGAAATTAAAGTGTATCTCAACTGGCTATGGCTGAAAATGGGATGAACTTTGTGCCAGGGGAATGCAGTATTTCTTCATGCAGGTTATGCAATATGCTTCATCAACTTGAAACTCTCTCTTAGTTCTTAACAATAAAATGATCCACTGTCACACAGTGCTAAAGGTAACTAACTTTGAGAATGATGTTATGAGACTTTTAAGAGAGACAAGAGATGGCAGCAGTAAATGCAAAGGGCCCTTCAGCAGCAGGTAAGGACTCTGCAGTTAGGTCGGGGGAAGAAGAGCTTGCACATTGACTTGTGGGGAAAGGCAAAAACTCGCCTGCCTGTAACAGGAGCTTGTTTTTGTCTTCTCCTTTTCTCTCCTTCTCCACCTGGCTTTGCCAGGTGTCTCCCTACAGCCACTGGCTCTGTCTCAAACTGGGTGGAGGCTGTATTTTATGATGTTGAAACTGTATTTGCTCAAAAAATGCTTGCTGCTTTTCTGTCCAAGTCAGAATGAAGAACTGCTTGAGAAATTGCACAGGGCATTGAAATACATCAACTGACACCCTAATTATTGGGTTTATAACTTTCAACATTACAATACAGAACAGAAAAACATTTTTAATTCTGTCAAATTTATCCTAAAACTAAATGTGGAGAAATCAACACATTCCTGCAGAGTCAAAATCCCATATTCCTCTGATGGAAAAAATTTGTCTGGAAAATATTCAGCAGGCCCCATTAGCCCACATTTAACTGTCCTTGTCTGGAAACATATCTTCTGTTTTAATTCACTTCTACCTTCTCACCACTCTTATCTTTTTATTTCTTATCTTCCTTCCCCAAACTTTCTTGCTGTGTTAGTTGAGAGGATATTTCACCCTTTTCCTTTTTCTTTTCCTTTTCCCGTACCTTTCCTTTTCCTTTCTCCTTTCCTTTCTTTCTCCATTTTCTTTTCACTTTCCTCTTTTCTTTCCTCTTTCCTTTTCTTTCTCCTTTGCTTTCCTTTCCCCAAAGGGAAGGAAAAGAGCTGTTCTGTCTTCAAGCTCACAGGTGGCAACAACAGAAATTACCCCAGTACCATCCATTTCTCCCAAATAGAGGGCATGACAGGACTCTGAGAATCATGATTCTCAGGGATGTCTCTTCACTTCAGGCATTTGAGCTGCTGTATCTATACTACAGCCCTTTGCCTCCCGCCCTCTTGACACCCATGCCCACTTTGCATTAAGGTTTGGAAGACATACCTGGGTCTTTAACATTCTCGTGGGTACATATCAACAATAAGCAGCATCAAAACTCCACAGTTTAAGAAGGATGTGAAGGTCCTTGGATTCATCCAGAGGAGGGGAACAAAGCTGGTGAAAGGGCTGGAGAGCATGTTCTATGCAAACTGGCTGAGGTCTCTGTTCCAGATCTGTCATCATAGTTTGTGCCTTTCTACAGCTTATTTTGTTACTCTTTCAAGTGTCAGAGACTTTTGCAGAGGATCTAATGAATATCTCCCCCTCAGAGAACTGTACAAGCATCCATTTGATTTTGTGTGACATTTGTTTTGTTTATTGTTTGTTGTGGGGATCTTTTTGGTTTGGGGGTTTTTGTTTTTGTTTATTTTTTTCTTAGTCTGGGAAATTCTATGCAGATAAGAACACTTTGAAGTATTTTGAAGCTGCAAAAATAGGTATTCAAACATGTTTGGTGATCTTAGAACTAATGATACTCATTTTAAAATGTTTCAAATGTAACTGTACGAAATTATGGAGACTGCATGACTTCAGGTTTATCATTGGAGATCAATGAATGTTGGCTCTTTGGCTGGCAAAGTACTCTATTGTACTGATGTGATTCACCAATCTTGTATCTTGACTGTACTTTGAGATACAAAACATATCAACCAATCCTTAATTATATGAATAGATGTAGGAAAACTAGTCAGCTGTGTATTTAATGCAAAATATTGCCTCAGTTCTGCTTGCACAATCTCTTTCTACAACCTAGTTATTTGTGATTTTGCCTTGCTGCCTGACACAGAGATCTGTGATGAGTCCTTGATGAAACCTTTCTGTGTGATTGCATCATCACATGCATGCCACAGCCATGGTCCGGGAGGGAAGTGTGGATGCAGAGAGTGCAACACAATGATAGTACCCAAGATATGGTCAGTATATCCTCCACTCAGAGCTGTGACGCTGCAAAGTCCTCTGATACACCTTCCAGGAAAACGTGAGACAACCACAGGGTAAGATGGGAATGGTACTGCATGGTAAATCCAGAACTGTCCCCTTTCAGAACATATTCCCTGGCTGTTCCTGTGCAAGAGACCATACTGACTATTGCTGCCACTCACAGTGACAGAGAATCAAGAGAGTCAGCAGGGTTACACCATTTCCATTCCACATTCATCCTAGAGCTACTTTCAGCATCTTTTCACAGATGGTCACAGAGCTATATTGATTCAAACTAAACAGTTAACTTGTCTATCTTGTGTGACATGTGTCAGCTTTTTGCACATGTGGAAAGTCCATGTCCTTTAACAAAACAGTGGCATTTTCCTTTCCTGCTCACTCACTTCCCACCACTTCCCTGCTGTGTGACTCACATTTCTGCACAACTGCAAGGCTGCTGCATGACCATTAGAAGGGAGAAGACATCCAGCTCTCAGTCAGCACATTTTTGACAGTATTTTCAGGGTAGTTAAGAATGACATTACCAATCACAATGATTTTAGAAAGCTTTTTCTTGTCCATTTCAACCATGTCAGGATAAAATTTTGGGGGGAGATGAAAGTTTGCTCCTCCCAGCAAGCAGCAAGGACTGACCTGGTTTGTATCAGTTAGTTTACATAAACACTGGGTTAATTCAGAAACACCTGGAAAAGTTTGCTATACAATTATAGAAGAAAACTTGTTGTCTGTACCCTGAGATACCACTAAGAATGGAGATACTTACAGGTGTCCACTCGCTGGACATTTCTCATCCGTATGATCCTTACAGTCAGCAGGTAGCAGGGAGAGGATTCTATCTGGAGAATGGTACAAAACAGAGTATGGATAAACCTTCAGTGGGTAAAAGTATCAAATGTGCAAATTAACAGAGTGCTACAAACCAATAATACAGTTGGTAAAAATTGTGTCAGGCATCTCACACTATTTCTGCAATGAAAACCTGCAACATGAGCTTCTGCAATCAAGGAAGTTTTGTTTTAACATTTCACAAATTTCACTCTCTAATTGCAGTGCCACTCTGAGATTGCTCATCATAGGAGAAAAGAAAGGGATAAATCCTTGTCAGCTGACGCTGCCTGTGAGACCCTTGCAAAACCCTTTGCTCTGGAATTGCAGAGTTCAGCTCTACTCTACAGTATAGCTACAGTAAGTCCCTTGGATAAAGTAAATGCACTGGTGAACTCCATGATGGAGTTGTCAAAATACCAGCAGTCTTACTAAAAGTTACAGTTAATCACCTCAGCAACCAACCATGAGGTCCCATCACATTGAGAAGAGCGCTATGGAGAATACCTGTTGTCACTGACTCTCATGGGATAAACCTGAAGTACTGCTCTCTGAGAGGTGGTTTTGCCTTCTGCTTCAAAACCATAGATTTCTCTGGTTTTCTCTTTACAGTTGCACAGGAAAAACAGTAGCAATAATCTGAGGTTTTGTAAATCACAATGATGAGATAAACCAATGGCTGAAAACTGTTTCCAGAGGGTTTAAGGGGTAAAGAATTAGGTATGGATTGCCTCTGGGGAAAAATGAAGTTCAATAACCTCCTCCAAAACCCCCTTAAGATTGAAAGTGCTTAACTTCTTTTGGTCCCTTTGAATACCTCAGCCATAAACTTCTGTGAAACAAGTCTCCCCAGGCTTCATGACTATGAGGACCTCTTCTTGGTTTTCATTAGAGGATAAGGTGATTTCCTTCTTCTAAGGAAGGTGATTTCCTGCTGGCACGTTCCATAAAGCTGTCTCCAGCTCAGACCTAACTGCAAAAAACTGCTCTGCCAAAGCCAATAAACAAATCAGCATTTCCTGTGGCTGTGACACACGGTCATTTCCTCACACTCCTAGAAACATTTCCACCTGCATAAGTGGTTAGAGCAGAGCCCTCCAAATCATTGTTTTTTGACAACTGCTATTTTTATCAACTGATTTCCTCTCATTTAGGAGCATCCTTCTATTTCTATAGTACTTCAGAGACTTCCTAGAACGTCTATAAACAAGTAGACAAAATAGATGTTAAGGCAGATAAAAAGAAGCTGGAGGAACATCACTTAAAACAATATGTGCAATGCTGCCAATTATTTTAAGATAACAGAGCAAAAAGATCTTACTTTCAGATGGGAAGCCAATTAGGCCTCCTTTGTCACAACAAATTACTTTTTCAATGTACATTTAAAATCCCCTTTTCTCTCTGCTAGGACATAGTGTTATGTTAAAATGTTTTTGCTGAGATCTTAAACAGGGTTAGTGCTTTCACCCCTCCTGTGCGTGCATCAAGAATCCCTTGGTTTCTTCATTGATTTAGTATTTCTTCATGAAATTAATCCTCAGCAATCCACCCACCTTTTATTTCAAGTATTCTTAAAGGAGAAAAAGCCTAAGAGAAGCTGCAAAATTTGCAAACAGCAAGTGATGGAGGGTATGCCCTCAGAGCTACCCCGCACAAGGACACTGGTTCACATTTCAGAAACAGTATAGCCATATTAATGAAGTTCTCCACCCAGTTAATTAACCCTTCTTGTCAGGTAATTAACAAAGGTGGGTCACCACATTCACATGTTAGGAATGAGCTTGGGCACCTCAGCATATGCCCTAGAAGGCAGAAACTCATTGTTCAATAGGATCTCCATAAACATGGGGCAATCCTTGCCGCCATTTATCTCTAGAGATTGTGCAAGGCACTGCCAGCTCCTGGATCAGCTCCAGCTAAGCTTCCTCAGGCAAATGGCATTGCTTGAGTTAGAACGAAGGATTCTGTATTTGCAAAGCAGTTTGAGGTTCTTAAATAGGAGACATTAAGGAAATAGAGCAGGTTGGGATTTTTTAATGATTATTACACAGTTTCTGGCATCTGATCCCCTGTCTCCTGGTTGCCATGTAATGACTTTCTAATGTTAGCCAAATTTCTCCATCTGGCATAGGGAAATCAATTCTCAGAGATGCAGGTTTCATGAAAAGCCTTACTGAAGTGTCACAATAAAAAATATATCAGTAGCTTCACAGAAGCTACAGATATCAGGACCAGTGCTTGCAATGGGGGAGAGGCAGATGCCACCAGCCAGTTACCTGAGAAAGAGGCAGCATTCAGGCATTACTTGTCCTGGCAGCCCTGGTACCTGCTGGTGGGAGTAGAAAAGACAATAGAGAAAGCAGAAATCACCCGGTAATCAGGCCTTGCTAGTTCTACTGCTCCCAGGAGGATTTGCTATTTTAGTTATCTCCAGTAACATGTTAAACAAAAGAAATGTATTTAAATAGCAACTGTGACAACCGTAACGTGATGTACTAGGGTCTAGTTATACAAAGAAACTGGCAGCTATTCATGCATAAAACAAAGGGTAGAAGTTCTGTTACTCTGATTACTTAAAAACTGCTATGATGTCTTTAACAGAAAAAGGGCTGCTGTTATGTCATGATATTCCATATATGGAGGGATTCCCATCATAACCTTGAGTGGTGGAAGACCCCAAGCAGTATTGTGCCCTGGGGCTAACAAGGACATACTACAACCGTTCAGCACCGTCACATCGTAGCTTTGCTTCTGATGAAATCAAGTCTGATGTAGTCACTCTGTGACTGTTTCACTGATTGTCAATCTGTCAGCTTGCCTTCAGCTCGGTGTTTCCCAAATTGTATTGATGTGTGCTTCCTGCACACATGCGTGTAGGACAGCTGCATGCAACATAGCACACTGTGATGCCAGAGCATGAAAAGGGTGTATTCTGCTAGTGTCTCCGTACTCCCAGGGAGATGAAGCTTTACTGAGATTTTCCAAAGAGCTCCATAAAACACAGAGCAGACGTCATATTCTCTTATTCCATGTTTGCACCAATTCCATAAAAAAGAATAACATGGTATGATACTTGGCACCAAGTTCCTGTGTTGGTGGAAGTAAAGGATTCCTCTGTCACGTGAATGATTCCAACTTTCTCCCAGCTGGATGAGTAAGAATTCAAAACAAGAAATTTCTCTGTTGTGAGCACTCTGGTGATGCAGGCTGGCTGCATTCCTGGCAGATTTGTGCCTCCATAGGTCTATCCCAACTCTTTTTAAAGTCACACTTGTATTCAGATGTAGGTATGCATGGAATGCATCTACATTGAGAAGCACTGCTGTAAATTACTTCACTAGTTTAGCTGTATAATACATCCTGTCACATAACAAGTGGCTGTGGAGCTCCAGAACGACAGTTCTCCTTAATGAGACAAAAACCCATGAGACCAGAAGATGGATATTCTTCATAACCTTTTTTTACTTGCCTTTCTCTCAATACCTCTCTTCAGTCTCTAGGCTTCTTTATCTAACAGACTCTTCCACTATGAGCTACTGCTAGCATCATCTTCCCAGACTGTGATATCAATGGTACGGACATTCACCACTCCACCATGTCTACTGAAGACCAATCCAGTTTTGTAATTCCACAACAGTACAGTCAAACGAGTGCTGGGTCAATGCATATTTTGTTTTTCAGTGAAAGCTCTTTGTTTTACCATAGATTTTCAATCAGGTAGCAGAATGTTGTAGCTGCCTTCCCAAAACAGAGAGCAGTCATCCAACAGCACTGATTCAGAGAGAATTTACACTTGAATCTCCAAGGGCAGCCAATACATTCCAGGTCCCAATTGCTGCTCTTTTTAGATTGCTATTTATTCAAAGAAATCATAAACTAATAGACAAGTAATTCAGAGATCCTGAAATTCATCTTCAGTGTATGTGACGAAAACTGTATCACCACCAAAACCCAGTTGTCATCCAAGCACATGCTTGGCTGTTGCTTCTCTACCTGAAATGCAGAATGCCTTCCGTGTGGTCTTGTGAGGAGGTGGCCTTTGTCATGCTGCATGAAAAAGTTTGATTTGGAAGCAGAGAAAATGTTGTGCCACAGTGTGCTGGTACTATCACCTATTTCAGGGCAACCACACTGCATGCTATCCCACAAGCCATCCTGCAAAGACCAGTAGAGGTTTAAAAACACCTTGAGTACAACCAATTTGCTTTTTCAGCTGTTGAAAAAGGCCATTTCTGCAGACCAACCTGAAAATATTTGTGGTATCTCTGAAAACCACGAAAAGAGCTTCCTCTCCACCTGCACATTTTTTCTGCAGTCACCCAACAATAATGCCTCTATCCATTTCTATGTCATCTACTGGCACAGCAGCCTTTCCTGGCAAAGACAGCTTCTCTGCCTTGACTAAGGTCTCCCAGCATTCCTGGCCTGGAGAAGCATTCTGCTGTGATGAAATCACTCACAGGATATTACCAGGGCACTCCTTCCTTCATCTCCAGGTGCCAATTTAACTAGATGGTAGCCAGGGACCAAATCAAACTAAAATGCTTTGCTGCTGACAGTGTATCCAGAACTAGTGGTGTCTGAAGACGTGCCCTTCTTGAGCTGTCTGAGAGTCAGGATTCCTCGCAGAATGCATCCGCGGGATTTCTACACTTGTAATTGAGATGCTTCAGGCTGTGAACATCACTCAGCCAAGTCCTGTCCCAGCCTAGTAAAGCCTATCTCCCACTGCTGTGGGATGGGCCAGTGAACCCCACTGTGGCACACTGCTTGGGCTGAGCACAGTTGGCTGCGGCATTTACCCATGTTCCTGAAGCTCTTCCTCATTCTTGACAGATGCTTTTCCACACTGGAAAAGCAGCCACTCTAATTGCTTTCTTCCTCTCTCTTCTCCAGGCCCTTGGGGCTGTGGCACCTCCATCAAGGGCTGAGGAGCTACACGGGGCATGGTGGGTGCTGAGGACCACTGCTGCCATGGGCTGCTTTTCACAAGCCATGTGTTTCACAGGTTTTATTAGCAACATAACTTCTAATCAGACCGCTTTTTCACCAGAATTAGCAGAAGTCTTGGTTGAGTATCAGTAAATTCAAAACTCCACAGCTGGATGGAAACATTCCTTTCAAGCATATGGCCACAGTAACCCTGGTTTCAGCAGGGAAAATATAACTGTGTCCACAGGAGCCTGACAGCTATGTGCAAAGGCCACAAGAGTTGTGTCCTTCAGATCATTACCTTGTCATACATATGTCCATTTTGGCACTCTGAACACTTTTGAGGAATAAGGCTGTACATGACACTGTGCTTGAAACATGTTTACAAAAAGCAGAATTTCAAGCATTAATCAACACAACATAGATACTCTCAGTACACAAGGATCCCGGCTTTTGCAGAGGTGTATTATCTGACTGATAACTCAGGCTAATTGCATGGCCTTTTTGGTACTGTTAACACTGTACTCCATCTTTTAATGTTTCCAGATGTTTAACAACGGGAATTTTTCTGATTTTGAAAAGTAAGTCCATTTGAAAACACAAAACATCCAATTTCATGTTCAAAATAATTTGCATATGCAGAACTGCAGCTAGGGGAATTGGATAGTCTATGCATGAGAAGACAGAGCCCTTTTATACTGCTTTGCCCTAAAACAACAGAGCAGATCTGAGAGAAAGAAGCTGATCATTAACCATCTGAGGGTTGAGATCCATCATACCTAATTTCAGATAGCTGTAAAATAGGTGTTTTCATCTGACAGCTGCTAGGCCTTTCTGGAGTCTCATCCTAAGCTAGACATTACCGCAGGACATGCATCATCCTCTGAAAAATCCCTATGTCCAGATACTGATTCTCAAGGAAATCTAAAGGTCTACCTCAGTTTTACATTTTGATGCCAAATATGGATAAGACAAACCATGTTTCAAAGCTTTGAGCTTATGGGAAGCAGCGTCTTTTGAACAGAGGACAGCAAGTTTCATTTTGAAGTGGGAGGCACGCTGGAGTGTGTTATTTCAGCAGTCTGCTTTTTGGGCATCCCCGTACCACCACTCACAGGGTGACAGGGGAAGACCTGGGCTCAGAACAGCTTCTGCAGCGAGCAGAGCTGCTTCTGGTGCCATGCTCCTGCAAACACCATGAGGCTGGATGTAGCTCAGGAGTGGTTTCCTCCTGCCTTTCCAGTTGCTGCTGTTGCAGCCTGGGCTGGAGCTGCTCCCGCATCGGGCCCTTATGAGATACAGGGACCCCATAACTGGCACCAGTGCGGACCCAGCCCTCCTGCTTGTCTCTGCTCTTGGTCCACGTGATGGAGTCCAATCTGAGCCAGAGGCAGCAGCTGCAACCTCTTCCTAATCTCTCCATGCAGTGTGGCAGCACCCCACTCTTCCCATGATCTCAGGAGCTGCTTCCAGCTCCCAAAACCCAGCAGAACCCAGGACTCCTGATTTACACAAGGGTGAGAATTTAACTTGCCTGCGCCTCTTCTGTTAAAGGGCCGCTGTTTTCCTAGCTGCACAAGCCCTGCAAGAACAAGGAGCCCTTGCCAGGCAGGGAAATGAGAAACCACTTGACCTGAGGTATGAGGTATCTTATGCTTGTTAAGAAATGGCTAATGCTGAATTCAGAACTATGCATCCATTTTTCCCCTCCCCTTCCCTCACAGTAATTATTGTATGAGACTTGCTGCAGTCCTTAAATATTTTAATATAAGCACTGAGGTCTGAAATACCAGAGCTGGCTCTGCCTAATACTTTAACATGGGGAAAAATACCAGCCAAGTCCTGAATAACACAGATTTCTTAATGCAGATAAAAATCAGCATGTTGGTGTAAAGGCACAGGTAGTACCTGGGATATACTGTGGTATCTTTCTAAGAGATGATCCCTCTTAGCAGACAAAGACCCCCATATTTAAGGCTTCTGGTAGTTTCAGTGGTGAAATATTTACGCTTGAGAAAAACTGAGCAGAAGATGAAAGCATCTATGCATCCTTCACATAAACACATGATATGCTGCAGTAATCAAGTCATAATCATGCAAGTGCATGGGCTAGAATGCTGTTCTGATCACAGAAATTAGAACAGTGCCTATGCAACCAGATGCAAGAAAAACTCAGGGGTTTGAATCTTTTTACTTTCTCTCGTCATGATTTGGTGTTCCTTACCCCTTGTAAGGAGCAGACAGGATACCAAAGACTGATCAGTTCACTGGGTTTTGGCCTGTTTTTACCAAAATTTTCACAAAATCTTTCATCCTATACACAGTCCAGAATTTTTGTACCACCACAGGCTGGAGATACCAGACATGTTAAGCTAAATATTTGCAAGAGGAAATGTCACAAAGACCAAAGCCTGATAGAATATATCCTGAGAAAATACAACATAATCTTATAATGCCAATGATATTTTTTCAATATAAAAATTCTAATACTGTGCAAACACAAAAGATAAACTTCAAAAAGTGTATGTGAAAAAGTAAAAATACTGTAAATGTGAATGAAAATTTCTTTCAATTACTCAGTGCCTAAATTGTACCAGGAATACCTGGTAACTAGGTTATCACAAAGCTCACCTGTCTCCCTGTTTATAGTATTACTTGAACTTGCAGACAAAGCTCCTTTTCATTTTGTTCAATATGTCTGTGTAGATAATGCAAATAATGGAAATATTCATACAATTATCTGCCTCAGCAGCAGATACTTCCTGGGACAACACTGTTATATGAGTCACATTTAAACTTCTCTAATCATGACAGGTAGGAAGCAATGCCTGTACTTACTGCACAGATAGCAAAACAGCCAACTGACAACCCCTACCAAAATCAGTAATTTCTAACAAAAATAAGCCCATGACTGATCTTCAAACACAAGAAATAGCTTTAGAATATTCGAGCATCACTCTGTTCACAAAATACATCATTACAGGTGTACTTTCTGATGGAACACGAAAGTGGTGAAAAATCAGGGTTTAGTAATCCAGGACACACGCACACCCTAAATTGTTAGAATAGATGTTGTACTGCCAAAGCCATTACAGCAGGACAAGCATTGCTATTACTTTCGGCCTTTCAGTCAAAAAAAATACTGTGGAACAGAAAGCTCACCAAGGAATTTCTCTTACAAGTAAGTAAGGGATTAAACCAGTAGGTATTCTGCATGCTCCAAATAAAAGGTAACAGAGAAATACAACAAACAATTCTGAAATTCATAAAGGTGGAATAAAATGATCCTAAAAATAAACTTAAGGGTGTAGCACTTTAACTGCTGCCATCATTACTTATCTACCTGAGCCTTCTCCTCTCTTGAGCAAAGCAAAACCATCACTCCCTCTTTGAATGTGTGCTGATTTTGGCTGGGATAGAGTTAATTTTCTTCATAGTAGGTAGGATGGGGCAAAGTTTTTGATTTGTGCTGAAAACAGTGTTGTTAACACAGGGATGTTTTACTGTTGAGCAGTGACCACACAGAGTCAAGGCCTTTTCTGCCTCTCACACCACCCTGCAGCAAGTAGGCTGGGGGTGCATGAGAGCTGGGAGGCGATAGCCTGGACAGCTGACCCCAAATGACCATTTGCTTGCATGGGTGGCTTTTGCTTTACCTATTACACTGTCTTTGTCTCAACTCATGAGTTTTTGCACTTTTACTTTACTACCTCACTGGGGGGAGAAAGTGAGCAGCTGCATGGTGCTTGGTTTCTGACTAGGGTTAAACTACATCAAGTTCAAAATTCTCTTGTTCATAATACCTTGAAATCTCCATTGTCCTGTGCAGTACTTCCTTCATCTCCTTGCTGTCCACCATCTCTCAAAGAATTGATGTCTGAGTCTTCATCCTGAAGAAAGAAAGAAATAATAAATGCTAACATTAAAACAACAACAGCATCATTATCAGGGTAGATAATTAATTCCTACTTGCAGTAAATTATGCTGAAACCCTAAATAGAACAGCTGATGGTTACACCCAGCTCTGTTACTGTGCTCGGCATGATGAACAAACCACTGCGTGGTTTGGCACATGCAGGTTCACAACCCATATCACGGGTACCCTTTCAATGATGCAGTGAAGGAAGAGCCATGTCAGCTGTGAGATAACCAAAAGGTGCCCCTGCATTTATTCTGTGAATAAAAGTTTGCTTTTTGTTTTGAATGGGATCTTTTGGCAACTTGCTCCTGCTCTCAGGAATATTAAATCTCAATAGAAAAAGTCCCAGAATCTCTTATCCGCGGTTGAACCCAGAGCATGAAACGCATTGCAATTGCGAAATTTTAAATCTAACTTTTCAATTTTTTCAGGAAACTGAAGTTCCAAAATACTTCTACAATGTAGGGTGCCCCCTTTCGAAACACTTCATAGGAAAACACCATTAAAGAACGGTTCCTAAAAGACATGTTGAAAGTGTTCTGTTTCTAGAGTACTTCCTAAAGCAATGCGCCTTTGTCCAGTGAAAAAGCACACAGAACAACGTATAACATACTGCAATTAAAATTACATGTAAATCTGGAAATAACACAGGGAACACAAAGCCAAATGTAAAATTCAGAACAAAAATGGGAATATGTAAATAAAACTAAGTTTTCTGTCCCTATTCTTTACCCTGTCCTTATCCCTTTTTCAATAACAAAAATAGGGTTGCCACATTAATACATGTCATTTTGCTATTGATACAAAAGCATTAAGTTTTTAATAAAAGTAACATTTAATTATGGAAAGAAACAGATCTCTTTTTTTTTAACTGTACATGTGGATTCAGGCTGACAATTCAGTCCCTTAAACATTATTTTCTTCCCTGTTGATCTTTATCACTTTCTCTTCTTTTTCTGTCTCCTTGCTATGCTAACTTCTCTTATTTTGCCTGTGAAGCTAAGAACTTTGGCTCTGGTGGAGTCAGGAGGACTTTTGCCACTGATAGCAACAAAGAGAACATGTCACTTTAAACTCCTTCAGGCAGAAATATTGCTGCTCAGTCCCATCAGACAGTAGGTTTGTACAGTAGCTTGTATAGAAACACTCTCACAAAGCGGGATTTTGTTTTCCACCAAATGCAGTGGACCTTAAGTAAACTTTCAAAGCCATTTTCTTACCTGTAGACCTTTTGCATTATATAACATCCTGGCCTTCCCTGGATCCATGTAGTACAGTGATTCCGGCACCTCCACGGGAAGCAGTTCCTGAGACATGGTTGAGGCAGGATTGACTCGTGTAGGAGTCAATGACAAGTTATTTTATAAAATGAGCTGAGGCTCCACCCATCTCATCTCTATAGGTAAAGGACTCCCCTCCCATTGCTGAAGACGATGGAGCACCAAGAATGACTGCTCCAGGGAAGGATCTTACAGCACAAGCACAGTATCTGAAAGCGATGCAGTACCTTCCTCTGGCTGGATATGCCATCCTGCTGTGTGGGGAATGGCCTGAGCAGAGAGTAACAGCAGCTCCTACGTAGGATAGATTGGGCCCTGGAAAAAGCCTCTGTGTCCATGTCCACTTTGATCAAAGCCTCCACATAGGTGAGGGGACTCAAACTCACTACTTGCAAAGAGGCACTGCCCTGGGCCGCACAGTAACCCCCTCGGAAAGGGCTACCTCCACCACCTGACAGGTTACTACATGGACCTGCAGCTCCCAGCTCCTTCTGGACTGCTCCCATTTCTTCTTCCCAGGGAAGAAAGGGCAAGGAGTGGGCTTAAATTCAACAAAAAAGCAAAGAAATATAGAATATCTGTGCAAAGAAGATAAGAATTACGCTTTCAGCATTTTCCAAAGCAAGGCAATTGAACTTTACAAGGCAACTGCAGGAAATTCATGTCAAGATGAATGCAATATGGTATCCAATAGTTTAGTTTTGTTCGTTTTATTTTACAGAGATTTTGTTCAACCAAAGAGCCTGAACAAAAGAGCACATGAACATCTCCAGGCATACCCGGAGGAAATTACCATCTTCAAACACATAAAAACAAATGAATAACAAACTAGCAGACCTAGTAACAGTAGGCTGTGTCATAGCATCTGCATTTCCAGCATGAAAAGTAGTTCTGCACACTCTTCAAGTACAAGAGCATCTTTTGGCCTTAGGTCATGGTCACACAGAGCTGCATCCTGGAGAACTCCTCTTGCAGCTTTATTTAGAGAACAATCATTCATCTTTTTTTTTTTTTTAGCCTCATTAGAAAAGAAGACCTGATTGACCTTGGAAGACCTGCCATGGGACACTAAAAATAGCAGCATACTTGTTGTTGGAGTAGGCCAGTTTTCCCAGGGCTGATTAGTTCAGAGAACCATTGGCATAAATGGTGATAGCCATTTAGAAACCCCTCTAAAAGTGACAAATCTTAAGAAAGCTGAGATTCCCTGTCCTCAAAGAAACCCATGGAGAACAGCAGATGGGTTCTATGTACAGATTTTCACATCTGCAGAGTTAATTCTTCATTATATGCATACTTCACCATCTGGGATGATCTGTGTGGCCTTCAGTTAAATCAGGGTATTCCGATGCCACCTGAGTGACTCCACACGGAACTCCATTAAGAAAGCTCTGAGGCTGTCATTAAAATCTGAACTAATGTTGCCTAATTTAAAATCTGTATGTACAAATCCAGATGGTCACTGTAGAATAAAAATCAGATGCTCCAAGTGGAATGATTTTATTTCTTTACATTTTATGTTTCAGTAATATAAGTATAGATGAAGCAAAATATCTGCTTCAAAGATCTAACCGTAGTTGTCCTGGCAGCAAAGAGCACACTACTCTCATCTTTCAGTGCTTGCGAAATCTCATCGTCTCTTTAATCTTTACATTTCTTATTCACACTACAACCCAGTTTGTAAAAGCATCAATCATCTGACAAAGTTACCTCCGTTACTTCTGACTGTAGAGACACGCTGTGGAGGAATGGAGCTCCATGACAAACTTAAAGTTTGTCCCATCCTATAATAACAAGAAATGCTATTAAATGTGTTCAAATACATTAGTGATTTCTTTTATCACAATATCTGGTAAGAATGAATCTGCTGATAGCCAGTGTCCTCCAAACACCTTACAACAGCGTACGCTTGCCTAGCATTCAAACAGGCCAGGCAAAATGAGCCTGGGTTTATTCTGGCAAGCTGGAAACACAACTAGGACTGGCTGTGACCACCTTTAGGACGTATAGATGCTACTTCTGTACAAAAAAAACACATTGGAGAGCAGAGCCGAATGGACTTTATGACTCAGATACATCCTCTTCCCACAGGAAGTGTCTTAGACCATCAATTGTACAGTTACTGAAGGAAGAAGATGTGGAGCAGGAGAGGAAACTCATGGGAGGCAGGAGTGCTTCTGTTGTCTGTTGCTTTACTCCTGTCACAGGTAAGAAGGAATCTTCTGGGAAATTAATTTTAAAGCAAGTCTTTAACTAGAGAGTTTTAAACTACTAGAATATATTCCTGTTAGGAACTGAGGAAAGTACAGCACTTTATATCCATTGCATATATACACCAGCGTTTCATAGAATCATCAAGTTATAGAATAATTGGGGTTGGAAGGGACCTTCAGAGGTCCTAGCTGGACCTAGTCTAACCACCCTGCAATGAGCAGGGACATCTTCAACTGTACCAGGTTGCTCAGAACCCCATCCAGCCTTGCCTTGAGTATCTCCAGAATAGCGCATCTACCACCTCTCTGGGTATGCATTTAGCACATAACTGGTATATGGCTCTGAAAATGGAAAGTATTACTTTCCCGGTAGAGAGACTGGCATCACTGTAACTTTTTATACCACTGCACTCACAGTTAGATGTTTGTCTATGTTTCTGTCATGTTACAGTTACTAAGGCATTGGATAAGTTCCAGCACTCACTGTAACAGTCTCTGTATAGCCTATTAAAATTGAAATTCATGCTCCATTTTATCTCTATGAGATTCTGTGTATGTTGCAAATGTGCAGTTCCCAGTGGTTACCTGCACAGTGAGAAAAGGCCCTCTGCTATGGGATGTTCTCTGTACTCGGAGGAGGTTTCCCAGGAGTGCAGTAAACTAGAAGAGCAGTTGCCAAAGTTTTCTGAATCACTGTTCACTCTCCACATTTCCAGATTACATGTAAGTTTATCATCTCCTCATGATCCAGAAACCAGTATGAGGGCAGTGTGACCATTGCAGTGCTCTCTTCTGTGCCCCAAACCAGCTGCGGGTTATAGGCCATCAGCTCCCACGTAAGCAAAGATCCTGGACCACAGCTTAAGAGTGAAAAGTTATGTATTAAGGGTCTACAAAGGATTTTCTGAATAATCTTCTGCACATGAGACAGAAACATTTAATCTGCAACAAATTCTAGGATATCATATAATTTATTAAATCTCAAAGATAAATTACTGCATATGTTTACAGATCCAACTCGAGGAATTTGGAGCACAGGTTGCTTTCAAGCTTGGTTGGAACAGTTTTGGATGTCAGCCATCTGAGTAGCAGAAATTGCAAAATCATAGAATCATAGAACTGTTAGGGTTGGAAAGGACCTTAAGATCATCTAGTTCCAACATCCTGCCGTGGGCAGGGACACCCTACGTTAAATAAAGGAAACAACTATCAATTGCTCAAGATTTAAAAGTGCATATTAATATATGTAGTAACTTGCAGCTCCTTACCTGATAGTTATCAGCCCCCAAGCACACTCCATTATCTTGGTGGAAGAAAGGAAATAGGAGTGGAGCAAACATTTCATATATTTACAAGTAATTTACAGATTATTGGCTGAGAGAGGGAAGGGTGCAATAAGTAGGTGGCAGGAAAAGTCATACTTCTGGAGACTGGGGGACCATCGGTATTTAAGAGCAGAGAAGACAGAATCTAGAAAGCACTTGCAGTATGCGTTTCAGACATCTGCAAGCCCTGAGCAGTCAGAATCTCAGCAGTAGGATTTAATGCCATCACATTTTCCAGGTTAGTTGCTGTTCATTTTAATGGACCAGCCTATCAAGAATGCTTTGAAGAAACTGGAGGAGAGATATACCTTTATTTCCATTCTCAGTGTTTGTCACCACTGCCTTTTTGTTCCTGATTTCCTTTCTTTTTTCCTTTCCCTGCCATCTTTTCTTTCCCAATGACTTGACAATGAGTTTCCAAAATATCCATTTCCTTACTTTGCACTTGGAAGTGCTTTTTGGATGCTGCAGGTGTGCTAGGCTTCAGTGGGAACCCTGCAATGGATAGGTCTTCAGGAGGAGCTCAAAGGCACAGAAGTTCAGTGGCATGAAAGACACAGCTTTCACCCACTGCTACCTGTTGGCCAGCACACTACGATCAAGGCATGAGGAAACCTGCCTTGCTGGAAATGAGGCCCTGATGGCTTCCTCTGCAGCATTATCACCCTTGTAAGGTGGTGGGATATTGCACGCACAGAGCAGAGCTTTACATTTGAACAGGGGTTTGGCACAGGGTTTCTCAGAAGGGAGTCCTGCTCTACCACCCATGTTCTCCTGTACCTTCTGGGCAGACACATGGTGCAACCTGTAGCCTCACAAATGAATAACTCAGATTGTTTGCAATAATCTTTTGTCTGATTATTCTTTGTGCTCCAGAACAACGTAAAATGGGGCTGTCAGCCATCCCCATTAGCTTGTTTCCTCAGCAGCACTTACCTGACAGGACTGTCAGAACAACTGTCTGAGTACACACATGCCTCGTGAGTGGTTAAAAAACCCCACTGCTGCTTTCCTTAGGTTCCTATGGGCTGATTCACCTCACTGAGCTGCCCAGCTCTCCATGCACCTTTGTGATAATCAGAAGGGCTGGGGCAAAGGTGCAATTGCATGCTAATCCTTCACTTACCTACAGATAATGAATAGGTAAGAAGGAAAAGCCAGACACAGAAAAGATGCAGAACATATTATTTACAATTAAGGAGGTCAGCGTAATAGTGTTTGTAGTTCCTGTTATTACAGCCACCAAGAGTTCTGCCTTTTAAAACAAGAAATATCATGCTAACTCTTGTTGGTGCTAACACTGTGATACAGAGTAGGCCTGGATTTTTGCAGTGCTTTCCCCACTCCAACCCCTCCTGTTTATTTCCTTCCTTGGAGTGATAATTTGATTAAATTACTCCTATTTCCTGTAAAAAAGGACACTCCCAACCTGCAAAGCTAAAAAAGATTTTAAAAACCTGCATCTGAAGCTGTTACCTGCATTCTTTCCATACCTCAGTACAGCCCAGAGGCTAAGAATGGGAAACATATCCCCTTAGCAACTGAACCAGAGCAAAAGATGCCAGAAGGGAAAGCCTCCACACTGGCCTAGAAGGACTGGCAACCAAGACCTTCTGCAATTAATTAATAAATTTAATGATAAAAAGCAAGCTGAACCCAACAAATTAACCAACTCCCTAATTAACAGACAAAGCACCTCTGCTAAACATGGATCAGGAGAGCTGACTAGATGAGATTCTGGAGAACAGGCCACTGCTGCAGAGCAGTCACCTGGAGAAAACTTTATCTCAGAGAGGAATAAACCAACTGCAGATGGCATGATGGCACTGGTATCCTTCCCCTCTGCTTAAGAGCATTACTTAGGGGTTGCTACATATCTCTAGGTGAAGGCACCCATTGTCCCAGGCAAAGGATGGCTGGATGGAGGATTAAGCCAGACCTTTTTCAGGGTCTACAGCAATGCAGGATCTTTAAGTATTTTCATGGTAACAGCAAGGACCTTGCTATGGGACTCAGGTGGTTGTGGGTGTATCGGAAAGAAGAAAGTCATTGATGTTTGAGGACTGAAAGCAGAGAATTGACAAGGAGATCCAGTTGTTGTCCAAAAGCTTTAGCCATGCCGAACCCACCACTTGTGTAGGACTGGCCAGAATGCCAGGAGGTGGGGTGGGATCAGCCCCTGACAGGTACATCAGAGCATGCCTTAGTGGCACACTGAGGATAAATGGGGCTTTCCTCTATTAAACCAACAAACAGAAAGACAGCCATGGAAACCAAGGGGTATAGTTAAAGACAGGGATGGGAGGACAGAGAAACTTGATGTCACCAAAGGACCACGGTGGGAAATCTATTTGCAGCTCTTGAAGATGCCCAAAACCCCCAGCTGGAAGATGGGCGGGTGGGAGAAGTAGCAAATGCATGTGTCACCCCAAGTAGGTTTGTCATAATGATAAACAGGGAAGCCTAAGAGGGATGCAGAGCTGGGACAGAAGAGAGGCAATGCCAAAAGGGACTGCATGACTCAGCAGCAGAGATTACAAAGAGAGGATCCCTTGATGAGACCCAGCAAGTAAACAGCCATTTCAGTGCACTGAAGGTTTGAACCAGGGCTGCAAATTGGATGGAGGTGTGAGAGCCTGGAAAAGCAGCTGGGGCAAGGACACACCAGCCCTAAGGGTGCTGAGGTCATGGGAGGTGAGTGTGGGAGATTAAAGACAACAAAGACTAGAGGAAGAGAAGACATAAAGGAATGCTTGAAGGCACTGGGAGAGACAGATGATGATAGCAAAAGGGAAGAGAAATTTTCAGCCTTTTAGAGGTTCAAATTTCATTTTTAATTAAGGATTTATTTCATATTTTGGCTCTGATTCATTATTTATAGCTCTGGGTTTGCCAACACGTTACTTCAGCACAGACAAGTTACTGTGTTTCATTTAAATTTGAAGTAATCAGCTGAAACTGACTGAAGCATTGTATCTTTTATATATATATATTAGTATCTTTGTTGGAATAAAACAGGTTTACGGAGTATTTGCATTATTCAAATCCTTCATAAAGCAAATCATTATTTTGGTCTTCATTTCAAAAATAAGCAGTGTCGACAAGTTGCCTTGTGCTATTTATAGTAGCTGCATAGAGCCTGTGTTGTTTGTATACAGTCAGCGACTGACAAAGTTATGCAATTACCCATGAATTACCCATGGGTATCAGTGTAAAGCACTCAGCTTGCCTTCTTACCACAGAATCTGAATGTCTTTCAGTTTTTGATGTTTTTATTCTCACAGCATCCCATCCTATAATAACAAGAAATGCTATTAATCCTATTGAGATTAATGGGATGTGGATGCTGAGCTGGATCCTCTAAATACCATGAGCATTCAGTAAAAAGCACAACCTCAGGTTAAGTACTTACACATGCACCAGATGAGCTGATTCTGACTCACAACAGAGTTTGAAACAGTCACTTTCAAGGCATTTTCCAAATATAAATATTTCTGGGTTAATAGAACTTGGAAACCCTGAAGTATAAACCATTTGTGTTTTCCATGTGAAATCTCAGCTTTTCTGTGTCTTTTACATTCAGGTTTTCATGTTCTTTTAAACAAAATTTCTTGCTGATACCATAGGAAAATACAGTTTTCTCTTTTTCTTTGAAGTTGCCCACATTTATTATGTATTTTTCTGTTGCACTAGATTTGGACTAAATTAAATATCTGTAGCTCATTTGTCTTCACGTATCACTTCTATTAATGCTGTGAATTTTGAAAGAATTCATATTGCTGCCTCACATTCATGCATTTAAAAAACTCATCAATAAGCCACTTATTCTCTAATGGTTGGTTTACTGCATATACATGCATGTACGTGAAAAAAAAAAACAGTCACCAACAGTTAAATCCAACATAAATAAAGCAAGAGACTAATCATTATTTTGTTCAATCAGTTTATCTATCATTGCCACGTGGTGGAGAAGAGCCACAGGCTGAGACAAGTCTTTGTAGTTTCACAAGTCTGTTGTGCTCATTCACAAGCAGTGCTTGATTCTTCTGCAGGGAAAAAACAAAGTTATACAGGCATCTTTCCGAGACTCAGATTGGCATTTATCTTTTGTGCTGTCGTTTCTGCTCTACGGCTGAATTCAGAGCCTGAAGGATCAGATTTTTGTTGTTCTGAATGTTGTAGCTGGTCAGTTCTACCAGTTTGTCGAACTCGTCCTCTGTGTATGTAAAACTGCTTATGCAGTACGGGGAAAAAATGCTGGAAACATCCACCTTGCCCTGTGCCATCTCAGCAAGGCTGCGCTCCACACCTGGCAAATAAAGAAAGAGCATTGATGGGGTATAGATGTGGTCCCAAGTTCTGCTTCCCATGTGAGCACAATGGTACATCTTGCTTGCTATCCAGACACCTGCATTTCTCAGCCATGGTAGCCACACCAGGGGAAGGAGGGAACCATGCTAGACCATGTTTCCCATCCTGACACAGCTAAAGGGTGGGAGGACTATCTCTGCCCCATGGCTTACCAGGTTCTTTGTATTTTCTGAAGGTGTCATTCACCAGCGGGAAGAACACCACTATCGGTGCTTCTGGGTTCTCTGTGTCTTCAAAGATGTAGCACTCCTTTAGATTTTTCTTTTCTTCTTCACTCATGTGGATTTTGGGAAATGGGATTCCCTGCTTTAGGAAGTACTTGGAGGCTTCTTCCAAAGGCTGCATTCAGAGAGAAAAAGGAAGAGAAGATCAGAAATTCTGCCACCCCCTCTATACTTCCTAATGTACAACATATCCACCAAAAGCCTTTCACAAAGATCCATGAGCAGCAGTCGCTGTCAGTATTCCTTCTGGCCTTTGTCTTTTGCATGAGATATTAAGTACTCAATTATTAACAGAACAATAGTTCCAGACCCAGCCTCCAACTTGCACTACTAATTGTTGTTCTACCTCCTCCTCTTCATCAGCTTTTATCTGCAAGACAAATAAGATGTTCATGGCTGAAAGCAAGGGTGACCTGGCTGCTTAGGACACAGAAACATGCCCCTTTTACTGGAGAAGATCCTGAAATGAGCAGAATGGACAGGAAGTCTTCAAGAGCTTCTGCCCTGTCCATATCTAATAACAGGAATTATAGACCAGGTTATCAGCTGGCATTTGAAACAGCACATATGGTGTCAAAAGACAACTTTTCTCCACAATTTAGAGTAACAACAACAAAAAAATCCAGCTGCTGTTCTAAAGACACCTGGATAAATTACTTCTAATTTAACTGCATGTGGGTACCTTTAAATGGATATCACAAGACAAAAGAAACAAGTTCTTCAGTGGCGGTACTAGTTCCAGAGAAACACTCTGTACAGAGAGTAGCCTTGATAACCACAGTTAAAGAGGGCTAAAAGAGCTAAAAGACAGTGGTCGTTATCGAAGAAAATACAGCAGCTATCGCACCGATGTCTGTGATCCAGAAGAATAGTTTAGGTGCAGGACAACATCCACTTTCCTCTCTGGCCTCATGAGTGGTGGGTAGCTGATATCAATGTATCCTGCTGTGTCTGCCAGGCATATGAACTTCGCTGTTTCTGTCAGCTGGTTGGGGAAATTCTCTAGTATAGTATCTAAAAAGAAATACTTGTTATGATGAGTGATTCACTGAAGAAGCAATTTCTACACTCTTTGGCTTGTAAGGCTGGAAAAATGCCTCTTGTCTCCCCATTACTTTTGCTTTCCAAGACCCTGCTGCACTGTGGAAGCTCAGCCTTGACAGAGAAAAGAAAGACCTGTCCTAGGTAAATAGACAGCAGTCACTCACTTCTCATGTTGCTTTTCTTCTGTCCCCAGTGAGCAGTAGTTGCCTTTCCCTGCAATCAAGGAGCATCTTGGAGCTGATTTGACTGGATGAAATTTAACTAATTATCTTGAAATTTTTGTTGCCAAAGTGAAAAATAAAGCCTGTTCATCATCTGCCTTTTCTTTGCTGATGAAAACACCAACCATATAGCAGATAAAATAAGTATTCAGCAACATTTACCTTTCCATACACAGAAGCTTTTGCTCTGAAGGTATTCATTGTGCACCTGGAACCCCTTCAGGAAGTTGTAGAACTTTGAAACCATCACCCGCTCAGACAGGACCTGCCGAATGATGCCCATAATGCCACATTCAGGGTCGACTAAGTAAGTCTCCAGCTCATGGCCACATGCTGATGAGGAAGGCTCATCTCCTTCTGAAGGGTAGAGGAAATGAACAACAGTCAGAGTGGCAACAAACCTCTTAAAGCTGTAAAGATTATCTACTGCTTGATTGAAGTCTTAGGTGGACACCCTGTGTGCAGGTCAGGGTAGGCTGAGAATCTGCACCAATTTCTTTCAAAATTAGATAAAATCAGATTTGGAAAAAAGAAGAGAAGAGAAGAGAAGAGAAGAGAAGAGAAGAGAAGAGAAGAGAAGAGAAGAGAAGAGAAGAGAAAAAGAAAAGAAAAGAGAAAAGAAAAGAGAAAAGAAAAGAAAAGAAAAGAAAAGAAAAGAAAAGAAAAGAAAAGAAAAGAAAAGAAAAGAAAAGAAAAGAAAAGAAAAAAGAAAAGAGGGAAAAATAAGAAAAAATGCTGTCAGGAGACTTGGACACCCAGAAAAGAGCAGAGAAAATGATTTGCACTAAATGGCACCTCATGAGATTGGGAAAGAGGGCCATTGACTTTCTAGCACAAGTATTTATTGAGCTCAGGGTTCTGCAACATTTCCATAGAGAAAGTGATGAAAAGCCCATAAACCAAACCTGCTAACCACATTTTAACACAGGAGGGACAGCCAACACCTCTAAGGAAAACACAGGTTTACAACAGGATCAAAGAAAGTGGAAATGGAGTTCCACATAATTGACACATCCAAGTCTTCAACAACAACATATGAAAGGTACCATCTGCCAAGGCAAACAGAGAACACAGCACTGAGATGTTTGTTACAACATGTAGGGTCACTGAAAGGCCCCAGGCAGATGATTCATTAAAGAACTTCAGTAGTTTTATATTCAGTGACAAATCCTCACTTGCATAAATTCAGTCCAAGGGAGGCTAATAGAAATAATGTTGTTATGAGGAAATTCAGAAAGGAAATCTAATTAGATATTGCTGGCTCTCCCTTGGGGAGCGGGGAAAGAGTAGTGCAGCATTGGCCTCAGTTTTAAGATTTAAAAAGCCTTCACATATATTTCACACTACATGCATCTGAATGTAACGTTCAGTTAAAGATTCATAAGACAACAGGTAAATTAGAAACATAACTGTAACCAACCAACATCAATAGTCCTGTGTTGTGCACATCTCAGTGAGCACCTTTCTGTAGGATCTGATGAATGCCAGGCATCCAAGAGGTTGTAGGAAAAAACATTGCTCCACAGGCCTGTGCAATGGTAAAGAACAGGGAAAACATGTTTTGAAAACGTGTTAATGGAAAAACACCCCTTTTAAAAAATAATTTTTCAGCTTTGTGAGGGGTATCAGAAAGCTGAAAGATTTTCAAACTCTCATGAGAAACTGCAGGAAGTTCTTTTGTGGCAACTCACACTCTGTCCTCAAAGAGGAGCCTGAATAGTTTTAAACATTGTGCCAGACACTGTAGTTCGTTGTCATGTACATTGCACACACTGCAAACCAGCTTTTTCTGTCCTATAAGCAACAGCCATCAGAGAATAAAACCACAACATTTCCTATAAAATGTTTGGTCTACAAGGTATGTCATATACAACCATACACACAGTTAAAGGTTTGAGGGGCTGCTCCTGAACAGCCAAGACTCAAGTGGTTATTCTGATCCCTGTTATTCTCATCCCTGTAGTCCTTCTTCTACTTTTGTTCTCACACTTAAAAGAAGATCTAAAAATGTCTCAGTGGTGCAGAAATCTCCAAAGCCCCTTGGATCTTGGAAAGCACTTCTTCCTCCACAGCTCTGCCAAGGGCCCTGAGAGGAGCTCTGCCAGAGAAGTGCTGAGCTTTGCCTTGAAAATCTCTACCAGTGAAAGCTTTGCAAAAGCCATACGTTGCAAAGGATGCAGTGATTTGAATTGCACAATACAATAGTTACGCCTTCCATTAATTGGTGACAGAAATACAATTCTCTTGTACGCCTGGCTTGTTTGTGGAGTGGAACAAGAAGCCAAGTGTCTTCTGCTTCCAGGAGGTCCCAATAAGAATAGCACTTTCTTGAGAAACATTAGAAATATGTAATTAAGAAATCAGATAGGTGTTTACTGGTTCTACACTTAGCCAGGAAACAGACTTCATTTGCAGATAATTATTGAGCAGTTTCATCAACACAACCCCATCTTCCTGCAGCTTGAGAAGCTTCTGTCCAGGTCCACAGTGAGAAGGCAACTCCTCTCATTTCTCTTGTCTTTACTTTGTGCCTTCTATACCCATAACTCTTTCACCTCCCCGAACCTTGGGAGTTACATATTGTGCATTTTAATATCTTCCAGACACTGTTGTCCGCATGACATTTGGTCGCAATTGCATAGGCATGTTTTCCTAACATCTTGCACTCGATTTTCATGGTACCTATATTTGCTGAAGTGAGAACTATGAAGAGAGACAGTATCTTTTACTGGGCTGACAGAGTTGAAAATAGCAGACAAGCTTTCATGCACCCTAGTCTTTCTTCTGGAAACCTGAGGATCTGGTATCTCCATGAGCTCATCCAACCTTTCCAGCTCTAGCCGTTGCTATTATAAAAAGACTTGCCTCTCCCTGAAAATTACACCTTGCTTTTATCCTTGAACTATCACATTGTAACTAATTGTACAATTTAATCACAACCTAAGAGGGCATTACATGTTGTATCACTAGATGGCAACATTGCTTTAACTCTCCGCTCTATCCTTCCTAAATACACATCCATGGCTGTGTGGTCGCCAGCTGAATTCAGGTGCTGAGGCTGAGAACACAGAGCTCAGCCTAATCTGGGTGTGTTGGGTATGCTTCCTACCTGGCCACCTCGGGTATGAACACACTACACCACTGACACTGGGAAACAGCAACAGGGGCACGATGTTCTCATAAGGCTCTGTAGTCCTACCTAGTTCTATAATCTACCTCCTACCTCTGGCAGTCAGCACGGAGTGTTTAATGAAAGAAGACAAGATCTCTTCTCCAGTGTACTCTTCAGCATCTAAAGTTTCTGGATTTGGCACTTCTAGTGCTTGTAGCTGCATCTGAACTACTGCATTTCAGAGCCACCAGCCACCATGAATTTGTCCTCTGCTTTACAGACCTATTTCTATTCTTGGTTCCTGTGTTATCTTCTGAGTCTTTTCCCTCAGCCACCTCTTTTCTTAACTCATTACATCAGTAAAAGCTCTAAGCATAGTCATTAAAGCTCTGAGATTTAGTGTCCGTGTGGGTAAGCACTGTCTTCTTCTCCTTATGCCCAACTATTTTCTCATGATTGTACCAATATGACTCTGGCCTCCTCCTGCATCATACAGAGAGGTGCACAACTTCTCTGCACACCAGATAAAGAATAGTACCAGATAAAGAATGGTGTTGCTGGTTTTATGGATTTTTTTAGCTCGTAAGTAAACCTTTTCTTACTGATTCTATGATTCTGTGATAACCTTGCTGTCCCGTTGTGTGTTGTGCTTTACATGCAATACATCTATTATTTGGGGTTTAAAAGCAGATGGACTCTCCTGCAGACAATATGAATCCAGAGAACTAAAGTACAAAGTGGGGTGGTAGAGAGTTCTAGCATTACACAAAATGAAAAAAGAATTGCATAAAAACTGCTAAGCTGTCTTTCAGGCGTTACTGAGAGCTACTCTACTGAAATAAGGATGACAAAAATCACTGAATTAATCATGCTAACAAAATCACAAATATAATACTATTAAACTTGCAAAAATACAAGTAACAGTTCAGAAAATTACTTAAAATTTCCATCTTTCAAAACAAACCCAGTCACAACATTGTTTTTTTTTTTTGCTGTAAAATTATACCATTCATTGATACATTTGGTTTTAAGTTTCCAGTTTCAAAATATAAATGTTTTCCATGTGGAGCTCTGCTGCTCATTTCAAAACAAGTCTAACCTCTTTAAGCAGCCCTGATACTTCAGACATGAGAGCCACCATTCAAGGCAAAAGCAGCAGCAAATAGTGCCATTTGAAATTTCCTCTAGTTATTTTTTAGCTCATTTCCAGTGTCTATAAAATTCACCTAGATGTGAGAGCAGCATGTTGCACACTTTGCTTCAGTCCTGCATGTTGCAGAGCACCAGTTGTACAATGTAGGGTCTGTATTATATTAAAAACACAGTACATACATATGCAATTCAAATATTCACAGTGGAGCACATCACCTTTCATGAAACAGATGCGGCTTTCGGGGAGCTTCTTCATCAGGCGACCCATGAAGAACTCACTGCCAAAATCCTCTGCCCGAATGAAGGCACCATATTTTAAGAACCCGACTTCATAAGGGGTGAACTCTACCCATTCTGCAAAGGCACAAAAAGAACTTTTTCAGTTCAAAAAATTAACTTTTAAATCTCAGTCCCTACTTCCCTGCAGGAAGGGCTCTGAAATGACAAAGAAGCAGCTGCAGCACAAACCATTTCAGCAGGGTGATCACAGGCTGATCTTCCTCAGGATAAGAGGCTATCATTCAGCTGGTTTCACCTGCTCACTCAGTAATGTTTCCCAAACTCATTCATTCAGAACTTCCAAACAGGCCTCTCCCGACAGGACATGAGTGAAGTTTATAGCAAAGCCATCAGCCTAAGTTAGCCCACATACAGGGCTAAGCCTTTGACTTGTGAGTATCTCAGCTCTCCTTAAGTACCTCCCCCAGATTTCTCCTGCCCCATAGATGAGGGGTTCTTACCAGACCCTAGGCATAATATCTAGAAATGGAAGAGGAATTTAAGAAGGAAAAGGAACTGTATATCAATGTTATGGTTCAGCAGTGCATAGAGTTGTAGGACATGCAGTAACTGATAATGCAGGTTATTTGAACACCAACCAAGTCCAGATACAGCTCAGGTTTGCCATCACCTTTGAACTCGGGAAGGCTGTAATCTTCTTTGATGTTGAGGATCATGTAGATAGGTAAGGGATTCTGACCCTGACTCAATGCCTGTCGCTCATCTGAGAGTTTGTGGTTGTTTTTCTGTGAATTGACCAGAAACAGAGAAAGAGCAAAACCAAGGGACCTTCTTGGCATGGTGCATGGGCTTGCAAGACTGCAGCAAAATAAATACCTGTTCCCATCTTCTTTTTCTTGGTATCTCCACTCATTTTGTGTCCACACATTTTTTAAACCAAGGAGTGATCTAAATGTTTACACATCCACATAAGCTTATTTAATTACAGGTGGTACACTTTGTGGTACAATGGTCTCTCATTCTTTCCAGTAAATGCATCCACTTTACAAGTTCTTACAGAGAGGAACAGAGCACAAGAAACCAAAAGCAGGACTTTGCTGTTAGGTGATCAGATACTCATACTGGTAGAAGACAGATGTTTTCTCTACGTATTACCCTTTGGGCTGCTAATTACATGCTGAGAGATACGTGGGGACAAAACCCCTTTGTTAGTCAGCAGAAATCATCTGCTGGGTAATGCTGGCACACTCTCAGACTAGCATCTGCCCCTTGAACTTAATTTTCCATACAAGAGAACTCAGTAGCTATTACAGAAAGCATGGACACACTACCCCATCACTTAATGCTTTTTCCAGCAGAAGCCCCCATAAATCAATGCTAGAGATCTGGTATCCCTCTTGCTTCCTCAGTTTTAGCTCCTTGTCATAGTACTTCAAGCTCTCCACGGAAAAGCAGCTTAGTTTGCACTTGGTCATATGTCTGCGGACTTCACCAATCTGCCTGGACAGATCCTTGTGTGACCAGTCAGTGCTCTGATACAAGTGTGACAAGGTCCTGGAGAAAAGAAAGGAAATATATGTTATCATATGCCTAAGACACTTCCGCTTGTTAGGCTTGGATTTAAGGACCACATCAAATGAACTATCTGAGGTTCATTAAACACATTTTCTGGGCTCTATTATTGAAGAGAAAAGATCTTTTGATTTAGGGACACACTCACACCCGCCCCACTAGTGAAACCTAAGGACTTGCAAAAAGCCCCTCTGTGTTATGTTGATTTATGTACAAGTCTGTGACAATCTTGTACAAAACAGGGGAAGTTTAGATTGGTATAAGGAGGAAGTTCTTTACTGTAAGGGTGGTGGTGCACTGGAATGGGTTTCCCAAGGAAGTTGTGAATGCTCCATCCCTGGTGGTGTTCAAGGCCAGGTTGAACAGAGCCTTGGGTGACATGGTTTAGTGTGAGGTGTCCCTGCCCGTGGCAGGGGGGTTGGAACTGGATGATCTTAAGGTCTTTTCCAACTCTAATTATTCTATGGTTCTATGACTTGCACCAGGATCACTCACTAGGAAAGATCCTAGAGGTGAAACAATGGGTCAAGGAGAACGTTGCTCCCCACCAGCCAGTGCTTAGTTCATATGCTGTCTCAAGCAATGTGTTCCTAATGCAGGAAGAAAAACACCAGAGACTAAAGTAGTACACCTTCCTTTGCTAAAATAAAGAAGAAAATTCTCTCACACAGCAGACTATTGAGGTGACGAAGGACGTTCTTCATTCTCCTTACCATGTTGAACCAGATGACCCAGTGATGTATGAAATAGCATCTAAGAGACCCAGCTTCTGAAGACCCAACAGGTTGCCTAACAAAGATGTCAGTGCCCGGGTGCCACCTCCTGTTGTCATGACTGCTACAACTGGTACCTGTTTAAACATTGACATGGCAGTGTTAAATAACTTAGTTTACCAGCACATATGATCAGAGCTGAGTTAATTGCATCATTTCTATCTCACAAGAAATTCCAACATTTCACCATTTCCCAAGCAGGAGAGAAAAAAAATGAAAATCTGGTATTTTGCAGAGAAGGAAAAAAAAAAAATGGAATTTGGTAATTAGCTAATTTTTACCTTTTTTGATCAATCATTTTTGATTCTAAGTTGCTACATGTTGGTTTACCAAAACAGCTCAAAAGTTGTTGTTTCAAGGCATTTCTGTATTACAGTGCATTTTCCCTAATGGAACATCACCTCATGAGAGCTCTATTTTGAGAACAATCAGAGCGCATCCTCTCTTGTAAGTCAAGTATAATGACTATATTACATTTCCTATAAAGTACCTAGAGTGTATAATTGCAGTGACGAACCACAAAGGCTAACTGCATGGAAACCTAAATTGTTTTACAGGAAAGCAAATTCCTCCAAGAAACCCACTGAGCGGAGCCAAATGACATTTCTCATACAAATTTCCAGGCAATTGCACCAAGGAAATACTCAGTAATGACCTGATTCAAATCAAGAACTTCAGGTTAGAGCAAAATTTTCTGATTTGAGTTTACTTGACTGTGAAAAAAACATTCTTTGTTGGAAAATCTGAAATTAGTATTAAAAAATACTTATACTTAAGAAACTACTTTTTTTCCACAAAAACTAGTGTTCTAATGAGAAACAATATATTGATGTGATCAGTTTGTGAACGGGAACATTGTTTATAGCATCCAAAATCAATGTTTAATAGGCCTTTGGTGCAGCTGTCCTGAACAAAGGGAAAATCAAAGGTGACAAGAACTCTTCAAATGAAAGCTTCATTTCCAAAGTGCCTGATCACAGACTGTGTCCCCTCCCTAAAGCACCAGCTCTCCCCATAACACCATGGACATGAACAAATACAACCCTAACTCAGTCAGATAGACAAGAGAAAAATGTTGAATGTCATTGTGCTGTTAAGAGTGATGATACAAGTAAGATGTTGAACAACAGAGGAGTCTGTGATATGAAACATTCTCATCAGTCAGTGCTGTGTGTCACTTTAACTGTTTAATTGTTTGTCCGCTCCGAAATCTGATAATAAAGAGTACTTTATGGGGCCTTGGTGACTGAATGCTCAGCTTAAGAGAGTAAGGCAATCACAGATGAAAAAGAAAAAAGACAGGGAAAAAAATGTTGATTTATGGTGTTTTGTTTTCTGAGCAAGCACGTAGCAAGTGGGTTTGATACTACCCATGCTCTCGCATTGTTTCATCTAAACATTCCTCAGTGCTTTGCATGGGACACTAAATACATTGGGGCTGGTTAAGGAACAATATGCAAACAGCTGCAAGCATAACATATTGCTGTTCCACAGCACAGTCTATTCTCTATGGTTTTCCCCATACCTCATGGTCTTGTAGGTCTCGCTCTAAATGAAGAGCTTTTTTCAGAGCAGAAGCCACAAGCTTCCTCCGTTTCTGCATGAAATTTTTCTCCTCCGTACACAGATCAAACTCCAAGCGAACATCTAAGTTTTGTGACCTCAAAGAAAGCTCAGAGTTAAATAGGATGGGCATGATCACTTACAATTAATGTCTGGACTCATCCGTATGAGTCACAAGCTCTACTGTTAGGCTTAGAAAAGCTGCTATTGTGACACCACAAAAAGCACATCACAGACGGTATAGACGTGGTGGAGAAAAGGTAAAGTCAAAAAGTTGTAAAATCTTATAAAAACAAAACCAGAAATATTGTTTATTGCTACACTGATTTTCAAGAAGTGTCTAACGTAAATACTGCAATCCATCTACAGATACTACAAACAGTGGAATATTTAAGATTTGTTGCCTAAACCCCTCCAGATTTTATAAATACAAATACTGTGGATTCTTTACAAGTAAAGGAAGTGAGGTACAATCACGTCTCTTTCTAAACTTGCAGCTCCATGGACTTTGCAGCTGAAAAAGATTATTCCCTCTATCCAAATTGAACTCCTGCATAGTGGCATAACAGGAAATTTTACCCAGCTCAGCTGACAATGTTCACTTTCTGGATATGGGTAATTAACATGGGATAAATAGGGGTGAATATAATACATTCTCCCTTAGTTACAGAAGAAAAGTAAGAAGGCAAAAAGGCTGGGCAGCATCTTTTTTTTTCCCACAACCACAGAACCCAAAGGTGGAATTACTTACCAGTCCTTTGACTTCACATCTAAATTGATTGTTTCATCCTAGGGAAAAAAAAACACACTGTAATAACTGGAGATGATTTTATTGTCCTTTTCTTTCCATTCAGGCAGCTATGAAGCCCTACACTTTTTCTGGGAGCCATGTAGGAATCACAAAGCCATAACAATCAGAAAATCCATCCAATTTTTAAAACTTCTCCAAGTCCTCTTTATTTTCTTTAAATTCTTTCTTACTAAAAATAGAAACAGCATTACAGAATAAAAAAACAAAACCATCTCTGCCTGTGTGCCCTATCTTGCTGCATGGTTTGCATTGGCTCTGGTGTGAATTAGTCACCCAGCAGGTCACAGAAATCCCTCTGTCAAACATTTGGCTCTAGGTTTTGGTTCTACTTTGTTCATATGAAAACAGACAGGTCCATAACCCATTATGTTAGGAATGTAAGGGCACCAGCAGTTACATATCTAACCCTCTACTTCACACTGATTTAATTAAGTCATGCCCATTGATCTTCACATTTATTCTAAAGAGAGATTTATCAATCACCTTTGCTACTGCTACTTTCTCCTTGAAGGGAAGTGAATCCAGAGGAATAGTGAGGGATGCATGGCAGTCTTTTTTCTTTTCATCTGAAGTACACTGAGAAAGAAATTACAATGTAGAAAACTATTCAATGTATACACCACAAAAAAGTACTGTGTCCAACTTACCCTACCAAATGGGGTCACCATTTAGCAGTTTCCAGGTTGGCATCTAATATTTAGGTGTCTTAGGGGGTACAATATTCCTCCAGAGCAAAAGATAATGAAAGATGTGATTTAATTGAAAATAATTGATAGGATTTAATTGAATTCTTTCCTTTTACCTCAGTTAAGTATGGAAAACTGTGAGTTTACTGTGCTTACTGAAGCTAACAATCACATACCAAAGGGAAATGAGGTTTCTTCTGTGCTAGAGCTACGCACAGCTCTGACAGGCTGTACTTGATGTAATGGAAGTCCAGGGGCTTCACAAGTTGCCGGGAAGAGCCCAGTGACAGGGCCTGGCTCTCTTCATAGGATCCCTTCACTGAGAACAAGAAGTCTTTTTCTAAGAAGAAAAGAGATTAAAAACACAGAGAGAAGCTAACTACAATGATCTCAGAAACAGAACATGAAATAGTCATTCAGAAGTTGTCATTTTTACATATAAAACATTCAACAATGCTTAAAAGCTGCAAGACTATTTATTGAACTAGGGAACATCACAAGAAGAAGAAGTTAACAAGAAAAAAGAAAAAGAAAATTAAAAAAATCCCAAAGAGCTCATAAAACAGCAGTAGCTGTTTGAAAAACTCAGACATACTGGGAATTTGGGGAAAATATAGATTATTAATAGAGGAATATATGCTTAGTTCTACAGCACTAGTAAGATTTTTTTCATCACTCTAGTAATTCATTTGAATGGCAAAATCTAGGTTTTATATTTAGCATAGATACACTACAATTGTTGAATCTATGATCCTGTAAATACTCATAAACATACAGTTCCTTTGCTCTAATTGTAAGAACCAAATAGGAAAATTGCCAAATAAGAAAACTATAAAAAAATTAGAAATCTACAATTTACCATAAAATAAGATTTTTTTAGTTTCTAAGTTTAAAGTCTAACCTGAAGGATCTTTCTTCATCTGTCTATTGTCCACTAGGACTTCCAAGCAGGAAATTTCACGAGACTGTAGCATGGATGAATGAGAGAATTAAGTGTACAAAACATTCCACATCTGAGTTACTTCACTGCTATCTGTCTCTGGTCACCTGTCTACCCTGAGTTTATTAGGCTGATAAGAGAAATACCTTGGCACTCTGGAAGATATGCCAGGTTTCAGCTGAAATTAAAATGGCTGTGGCGGCCCATCCATGGTGATGGGCCTGGAAAGGGAGAGGAAATAACAGGGGGAGGAATGTGGGTGTGCTGAGGCTTCCCAAAGCTAGACTGATGGGTCAACCAAGCCACAGGTCTATCCCTGCAGCCTGCTTTGGCAAAGTTGGACAGCCAAGGGCTACCTCCTCTAAGTAGTGAGTTAGGGGCAGTGGAGAAAGCAACTTCCATATTATCCCATGGAGGTGTGGAAAACTGGATGGCCATGAGTGCTGTCCAAGGGAAATCCCAAGAGGGAATGACACAGAGGCATTAAGTCAGTGAAAGAGCACTTCAGGCTTCATCAAAAGGCTTGTTATCAGCTGGTGGTGGTGGACAGTTCTCTGGGTATCCCCAGTGATTGTGTTCTCTCTTTCCTAATGCATCTTCCCACTGAGAGCAACACAAGAGGATGGCTGGAGTGCCTGACCCTCCTTTTCCCTCCCATTCAGCCATGCTTGTAGTGAGGTGTTGGGTCACCTGCAAGATTCACCACTCCCATCATTAGCATTAAAACAAACATACAAGAGAAATAGTTTAAAATTACCACTAATACACCATTAGTGATAAGCTTTTCAGGAGGAACTGGACTGAAAGAGAGGAAAAAAATACACAGTCAGAACTAATATTATATAAATACATTCTTAAACAAACATCAAGGAATAATACTCTGCTCTCGTGAGACCTCACCTGGAGTATTGTGTACAGTTCTGGTGTCCTCAACATAAAAGGACATGGAACTGTTGGAACAAGTCCAGAGGAGGCCACGAGGATGATCAGGGGACTGGAGCACCTCCCTTAGGAATACAGGCTGAGAAAGTTGGGGCTGTTCAGCCTGGAGAAGAGAAGGCTGCGTGGAGACCTCATAGCAGCCTTCCAGTATCTGAAGGGGGCCTATAGGGATGCTGCATAGGGACTCTTCATTAGGGACTGTAGGGACTGTAGATAGGACAAGGGGTAACGGGTTAAAACTTAAACAGGGGAAGTTTAGATTGGATATAAGGAGGAAATTCTTTACTGTAAAGGCGATGAGGCACTGGAATGGGTTGCCCAAGGAATTTGTGAATGCTCCATCCCTGGTGGTGTTCAAGGCCTAGTTGGAGAGAGCCTTGGGTGACATGGTTTAGTGTGAGGTGTCCCTGCCCATGGCAGGGGGCTTCGAATTAGATGATCTTTAGGTCCTTTCCAACCCTAACTATTCTATGATTCTATGATTATAGAGTAGAATCATAGAATACTTTCCTTAAAGGTTGCCTTGTCCAGCATCATCTCAAATAATGTCACTGATTTTTAATTTTGACAGACATCTGAAAGTTTCTTCCTTTTTTTTTTTTAATGATAATGGTAAATAATTGTAGTAATAAGCACAGGGGCTGCAGTTCTTACTATCCTTCTCCCTCTTCCAGGAAATAATGGGATGAATTTGTGACCAGAACAATTTTTGGTAGGTAAGAAACATGAAGTTTTAGCCAATATGCAACTAATTTGATGAACACCAGCTGTTGCTGTCGTGCTGAGCATCTTGAACTGTATTATACTAAATGCTAGCATATGCTTGACTGCTTGCTTTTGCAAAGGACAGTTCTTTGTTCCCATATGGGTTTCACTTACATGCTCTCTGACGCAAATTCAACCTCCAGCGTCTCTTGTGTCTGTAAAAGGTCATTTCATTATGAACATTCAGAATTCATTTTCTTTCTCACTAGCTATGGTTGCCAGTGATTATTCTGGCTTCTGAAACAGCTCTTAAAATCAAATTTTATTCCTGCTCTAGGTTATGCGCAGGTGAATTAAAGCAATCCAGTTAGAGTGATTTGGAAACTATTCTCCCTCCTTCATTAACCATCAGTTCCCAGACTGACTGCACTTGTCCATACAGTGGTAAGGCAGAGTAAAATGGCCACACAGGCAATCCTCTGCCTGCAATAACTGTTGGCTTAAAACTGTCTAAAGCCTTGCTTTTTCTGGGTAATATTATCAGAAGACTGGTACTGTTGAATAGCAGAGGGCATTCTCATTCTTCTGATCGAAAGAACTCCTATAGCACAGACAATACATTGACCAGTCACCAGACAAGTTATGATAGACAGCTGCTTGCCAATATCAGCATAGAGCTGAATACCAGTACATACCCTACACGAAAAGTCAGTGAATCAGCAAATCTATAAAAGTGTAAATCCCATGCTTAAATCATCATGTATGGGTTCAGATGCACTAAAGTAATGAGACAGTTATGGTAATTGACAATTCATTTTAGCACTTCTGCATTCATCTTTGCACTATATTCAGGTATACACAAAGGACTTACAGGGCAGGGTATCTGGTTTTAAGTGAATACTCCAACATCTGTACCAGAGTATGCCCAAACTCACAAATGCTGGTCACAGGAATGGAAATTCTAACAGAGAAACTTTGTGCAATGGTGATGAAGTCTTTCATCTCCAACAAAACCTATTTGAGCAACACAGCCAAGAACAAGAAAAATGAGAAAACTCTGCTAAGAGGTTTGAGGAGGTAGTAAAAACTTTCAGTATTATGTCTGAGGTAGGGAAGTAAACCTTGTCCACCTTGCTGAATAAGGCTTGGAGGGCAATTTACAAGATACATGAAGTGCTGACCACGTAAACCCTCCCACCTACAATCGCTTTACAGTAAGTTATTTAGGAGATAATACCAAAATTTCCTTCCTGTGGCCAAGGCAGTTTTATTCCTTACCTTTGGATTTAGCTGAAAAGTCAAGTGAACAGTTTCTCCAAGCTGGATTTTAGCAACATCAAAGAGGACAGTGAAGAGAAGGTCATCTTTAGTGATTGCATTTTCATCATAGATTTTCAGCTCAAGAATATTCTGTGAACAGAACTACAGGATTAGGAACATCTCTATTTTGAGACCTTATGGAGGCACAAGATGATATTCTCAGGATGCTAAGACAGAGAAAGGATGGGGAGAAATGAGAGAGCATGCACAACCTTTCATCCACCCAGAACTGAAGATACATATTCTCCACCTAACCTAGTTGGATTTGTTGTAGACGTTCCCCTAATTTAAACGACAAAGGCTAGCAGAATTGTTGAACACATAGCTCCCATATTGAAAACCACATTTGACCTCTAATTTGATTTGAGGTCACCACTTTCCCCTGAATTGTAGGAAACCATCTGGTGGCCAGGATTTTACTGCTATTGGTGATAAGTAAATAAATAAATAGCTAGCTACATAAATCCTTGGATTTAAGCAGGGATTAAAATACATTAAGGAAGCACCATATAACTGCTGCATGTTGCATAATTATATCCTGTAAATTATTATTAAACAGATCACATCCAGATAGTTACCACAGAATCTACAGAAAATGCTACAATTTTGTTAAATTGGTGACAAGACGCACAGAAAGCAGCAGAACAAAAGCCTGTTTTCATGGGATTATAGGCTACACCTCTCAGTCTCCTCTTCCTTCCTCCCATTGCACCAATCTCCTCTCCCTCCTGTGTCACCTGCCTGTTTGGATGGACAGCAGTGGTAAAGGCCCCTGCTGTGCCTGGTTGGTAGCTGCATATGGGCTGGCTCAGAGACACCTTCCAGAGCACTGAGCAAATTACCATAAATGCCTGTTTTCTCAGTGGGGAAATAATTCAGGCCTCTCCATATATTCAGGAGCTCATTTTCATGTGAACCGCAGGAATCTCTTATCTCAGAGATTCTTACTTATCCATCAGATTTAACTGAGAGGAACTGATTTAACTGAAATGTACGGAAAGGAAGATGATCCAGAATCCAAACACTCGATGCTGACATCTATCATTTCTGTAAGAAACTAGCAAGTGAGAGATGGCAAGCTGTAGTGAATCTGGGTTTGCAGTTTGCTATCAGAAGGCAGAAAGGTTGCTGCCCTTCATGGACATATATGTAAATGCATCACACTGTGCTTCAGACAGCAAAACAATTCTGCTTGTGTCTGACAGGACAGCACTGGGCTCCTGCCCATCATGCTTGCTAAGGGAAACAAAGAGACTAAAGGCAGAGAGAAGCAGCCACAGCAACTTGGTTTACAGGCCAACTCTAAATAGCCTGTAAAGATTATGGAAGGTGATGGAGGTGGTGTGCTTAAAAGGAGCAGTCTGAAGTCTGTAGAAGGCAGGTGTACATTGAAGAGAAGATAGGTTTTCCCAGCTGTGGTTCTGCAACAGACTGTCCACTTCTGGCTGGAAAAGCTGACTTATTTTCTTACTGACCAACTGATTTGAAGTCCCTTGGTTACTCCCAGCTAGCCAGAAGGGGCACACACAGCATGCTGGCTGGCTAAGGGAGACCTCAGCTGCACTGCTGGGATGCTGTGCGGGAAGCAGCTGGGGTTATCTGTGCAGCTCACTGTTTCTATCCACTCCTGAGGGAGGATATGAGGGCAGCATCACTGGGAGAGCAGTGGGCAGAGCCAGCTCTCGGTGTGGCTGCATGCTACCAGCTCCAGGTAGGGTGGCCCTCCTGGAGCCAGGGGAGTGCTGCCCACAGCACCAGCCGGGAAGCGCTTCCTCACCATCTGCGCTTTGTCAGGCATTCATCTAAACCGATGATTTTCGGTAAACACTCCTGCTCCTGATGGGAACCAGCCTGACATACCCAAACAAGTTTTTCTCTCCCACAGTGACAGTGTACTATACGAATTTACTGAGCTCTGGCTCCTAGGATTTAGGAAAATCAATACCTCAATGATGCACCAGACAGGCAAGGAGAAAATAACCAGCACACTGGCTCTGGTCAGTGGGTAATGAACAGAGCAATTGAAGTATTTGGAAAGAAACCTGTGAGAGCTTTAACTTAAGTCTGCTGAGTCCAGACAGGAGCAAGGCAACAGTGACAGACACGCCAGAGAGCTTTGGTTGTCCCAGATCCCCAGAACACATTTTGTGCAGCCCACAGCAACAGCTGCCATGCTGCTGTCACTACACACCGAAAATTATAGGGTCTAATGCCACATGTCTTGTCTCCTGCTGCAAAGTTACTGCAAAGTAAATGCAAGGTCCTCCCAAATACTACTCTGTGAGGGACTAGTTCCAGCAGCTTCCTGTAGCCAAGATATTTTTTCCAGCTGTTAACATGTGTTATTGCAGTTTTGAAAGACCTGTCAGCCACAAACCATTGCAAGGAAGGGGTGTTCTGGCGCAACAGCTCTTGAGCAGTGGGTGTTTGTTCCCATGCTGCAACACTTGTCCCTTGCCTTTCACCTCCATGACAAACCTGCAGGGCTCAGTGGAATTGTGTCTCACTGCTATTTTGAAAGACATCAGAATTTTTTAGGTTGCAGGGGAAGCATTGGATGTAGGCTGTAGATGGGCAGGTGTGTTAAAGCTGAAAGCTGTACTAAACAGGACCAGTACCACCTAACTGTGGAAGGAAGCCTGAGAAGTATCATGGGCAACTCCTGCAGACAAAGGCAAGAGTGATCGTCCATTGGAGACCCTGTGGTGTAGCAACACTTTGAGCTGTTCTGAATACCCTTTTGGAGGAGTTTATTGACACTCAAGAGAGCCAGGGGACTGGCCTACTGATTTGGCGCTTGGCAGAAAAGTTCTTGTCCTGCTCTGCCACCAGTGCTAGGAAATGAAGGGCGCAAGCTGTAAAGCAGTATTTGATTCCCCAGGTGTGAAGTAAGCTGATCTTTGTGGATTCCTAGGATCGCTGATCTTTTTGGATTCCTAGAATCACTGATCTTTGTGGATTTCTAGGCTCTGATGCTGATGTTGTCTTTTGGCGGAAGTGGACAGTGGGACTAGCAAATCTTCTGAAGCTCTACATTCATCATCACGGTAAAAACTCAGCTGGTCTTTTGCAAACTTTATTATGTGATAGTTGTATTACAAGCTTGTTGTTCTAAAGGAAGAGTTGAACATCACTGTGATGCTTCCACTACTAAGCCCATGAATGTCTTTTATGCTGTTCGATTTACTCCGAAATTCTCACCTTTACTGTTGAAAAGCAGGAACTTCAAAAAGAAAAAAGGAAAAAGTGAAAAGTGACAGGAGATTACATGAACAGTTGTTTTCCTTTTCTATAGTAGAAAATAATTTTGCTGCTGCATGCTACTCCACATCCTCTTACCCATGTCCTTGTAGTCCCTCACACATACTTATTTTTAGGGTGCTATATGTATTAATCACACAATGAGATCTCTGACCCAAAAGAAAAACAAAGGCACTGTGCATCTTACTTTTACTTGGCTCTGGATCCTGAAGCAAAATGTTTCATTCCACACTGGATTTTTGCAGTTCTTGACAGTTTTGGTCCGGACGGTCTCAGGGGAAGCAGTGGGCAAGGACAGGCTTACGTAGCAATCAGTTTGACTAACTGCATTTGGAAAGGCACATTGTAACTTACAAATTGCTATAAATATCTTAGAGCATAGCCTTATAACACCATATAGACAGCAAGCTGCAAGAAGGAGGTATTGTTTCTACTGCTTTTCTGACAGGTCCTTATTCAAAAACATTCACTGCTGTTTGTTATGGGATCTTTGGTCATTAGTGAAGATTCAAAGAAGTTACTGAAATAAAGACAACTGGTAAGAAAAAAATATGCAGAGCTAGTTCTACTGAACAAAATCCAGCATTGGGATGTCCCCTGTTTGTTGCAAATCAACAGATTTCTGTGACAGGGAAGAAAAAGGTTTACATTTTAAGAGAAGCTTTTTAAAGGATAAAATACTTATTTAACTAATTGAGCATTTAGACAGGGGTTTAACATTGTCCTGCTCTCTTGAGAGGGGAACAGAAGAGCTAAAGAGGGTCTGGATATAAAGAATTTTCCTCCTCTGGTCTGCTGCACTCATGTATTTGTAGTCCATTCCATGCAATAAGTCAATTGTCCCACCCAACATGTGATCACATCCCTTCACCATCAACAGATATGCAAAAGTAGCAATGCACTTTTATCTTACTGATTTAAGCTCCGAGCACTGATACTGAAGAAACTTCTAACTTCTGAGAAAGGTGTGCATGTAGCACAGGGCTGCACAATTAGCTACAAGTATGCCATTAAATCTTCATAATACATGGGGCTGCTTTGGGGTGGGCTCCCAAGAGCAGTCCCCCACCTCAAGCTGGGGCAAACAGCCCCTCAGCCAGGAAGGCACAGCCTTGCTGGACACTGCCTCAGGGTGCTAACATGTCTGTTGGGGATTGTCGGAGGTCTTGGGTGAGAGGCAGGCTTGGTACATCTATGACTGTGCAATTAACTTTCCTTTTGTGTGTATAACCTCATGTATGTAGAGTATTTGGTGTTTAGGATTCTCTCCAATACTGCTAAGATGGTAATGGGTTTTTAGCAGGGAGCACTGCTGGGCAATTTCTCCTAAGTGCATAAAGGAGTTGATGTCTTGTGAACCTGTGATAACAAACTGAGACCCTGAACAGTGAAGAGTGATGCGACTCTCTCTACACTGTCATTCACCCCTTCCAACCCTCCCATTTGGAGCAAATCTGCTGTCCTTTGGCTCTGTACACTGTTTGCACTCATTTTTAGCAGGCATTTCTTTTGTCTGCTGGGCAACTACAACTGTCTCTAATGTCTCCAGTTCTAAGAACTTGCTTTCCAATCACAGTAACAGGTTAGATTCATATATAATAGCAGGCAGTTTGGTACTGTGTGAAACATGCTGAGAAGCCTTATGAACAAGTGGGTATCCTGCTGGAAAATCTATCATGACATGTTGGCTCCACTCCCAGCTCTGCTCCAGGCTAAGTCACTTTGGGCAATTGCTTCCATTAAAATATAGCCTGCTTATCTGTCTGCATTTCCTCATCAATAAAACAGCGATAACTGTCCTTTACTCTTTTGCATTCTGCTTTGACATCCCATGACTAAAAGCACTATGCAAAAAATAACTAGTTATTAGTATTTCCACATGACCCACAAGAAGAGTGTGCCTTACTAGTAATTATATTGTTTTTTCTCTACCAGTCTCTTGCTTGGCATTCCACACTTTCTTTAAACTTGTGGTATAACCCATGTGGTAATGAATAGGAGTTGCTTAAAGCAATCTGTGAAATCAGGTTATTATGTATGATCTATCTGTCAGTCTTCTGATACCATCTGAACATGAAACATCTTACAGTTTTTCAGCACGCATCTGATAGTTTCCCCCTTATTGTCCATAGCAGGGAAGAAATTAACATTGCAAATGCAGATGTCTATAGTTCTTATAAGTAACAGTAGGATACTTTTAGACTTAGTATTACAATTTTAAAATGCAGAATATGTGCAATGTACCTTTAGATAACAATTTATTATTAAAGAAGGTGGTAAAATAATTATTTACCTCTCTCTTCCATTGGTTTTTAACATTTGCAAAAATTAGTATCAACTTTGCGTAGTTACTTCCCCAGATGGTGTCAGAGAAGCACATAGAAGTAAGCATATCTGTTTCTTCAGCAGCTGTGTCAGTAAATTGCGGACTACTGATATGTGTGTTTTGGAGAATCTGTTAATTTATCGTCTGTTTTGTTGTACATACTAGCTTTGAATACCGATTTAAAAGACTGGCATTTGATATTTTCAGAGTATCAAAGAAACCCTAAACTTGTGACTTACAATCTTGTATCTAGATAAAGACATGGTGGGATCTCTGTTGAGTCTTTTACCCTCTCTGAACACAACAGAACTACAGCTGACTTCAGAAGTTAGTCTAATTTTTAGCAAAGCTGTTCACCCTTAATAAGAGCAAAAACAAAGTCCCACAACCTGATAATCCACGTGTAACACCAGCTCAGTTAGCAGGTAGTGAAGCTTCAGTTTCAACATAGCCCAACACAAGAATGCAGATAGACAAAGATATTTGAATCTAAAACCAGACAATTACAGCCAAGTCATTGCATGAAGAATAACAAATTATGTCCCAGAACCATAATGTTGAAGAACTTATCTGATAACACAGATTTAGATAAACTTTGGACTAGATCCCAAATACAGAATGTTAAACATGGTACAGATGTTGAGATTTAGGGAGGAGATTGCTTTGCATAAACTCCCAGCACTGGGCAGGAACAAGCACATGCTCAGTGTTCTGTGTTGCAGTTCTCTTTCTCTTTTTTCCTTCCTTCACAATAAAAGGCTTTAATTGTTACCAGCTACTAAAATCAAATATATCCAGGTTGAAGAGGATTGACTAAGGCTGACACATGAGAAAGAGCTGAAAGAATTGAGTTTGCTAATTCAACAACAACAAAGATTATCAAGTAACATAATAGTCATCTGTAATGTCCAAATGATTGATACAAAGAGGACAAAGATCTGTGTCTGTCCGTGGCTAGAGGGAAATAAATATAAACATTAGGAAAACTGCCCCAGCTCAAAGAGAGTTAGTTCTAGCAAGAGATTCTATAACTTTTCTAGGCAACTCATTTCAGATGGTATTGATCCCCAGATACATATCAAAGAGTGACTGACAAGGTAAACTTGATCCTGCTTCAGAAAAGGACCAGCCCAGATGAACCTACATGGTGTCATATGGAATTGCTGTCATGCGATGCTCATGTTTATGCTGGAAGGCAATAAACAAGATAAACATGTCATGTCAATTATATTGCAGGGAAACCAATTAACCGATCATCTTCATATTGTACATCAGCCCAAGACACCAATTCCGAGATACCTGGGCACTGTCTCCAAACCTCCTTCTTGGACACATAAAGTAAGAATGTATGTTCATTGAACATTTTGCTACCTTTCCTTCCCAAACACATACAGTGTCCAAGTAATAAGGCAACAACCCATACCTAGAGCCTCTGTGTGCTATCCAATATAACTGTCAAAAGAAACAGTACATAAAGCAACACAATGTAATGCAGGGAAGCCCACAACAGCTATGCTACAACTTCTCCCATCCACCCCAACTCCTCCGTAAGGCAACAGGGGCAACAAGGGTAAATTATATCACCTAAGTGGCAGTTTGGGTATATGTAGATGTTCTTGCAAGATTTGTACATGCTAACAGAGGTGCAGGTGTCATTGGATCATCCTTACAGATGAGTTCTTTTGGCAAAGTGGAACTAGAAATCAGGTTATTTCCATAGAAATATCCCTATGAATTAAATTTTGGACCTACGGGGCATAACACACGGGTGAAGATTACAGTTTGATTATTTGGCTTATTTGTTAAGGTCATTACTCATTCAGCCTGGATTAAAAGCTTACATCGCAGCAATGGTTCATCCTGACATAAATACTATGATTTGGATGCTTTGCCAACATTTGGCAGTGAAGCCTTTACATTTTATATGTCTTTTCTACTGTAAGTTTCCTTCCCATCAAAGTATGTCACAGATAAACACAGCCTCCAGACTGCCTTTTGTCACAAGACTACAACTAATCCTATTTTCACAGTGAAATTAAATAAACTCATATTCTGGCTGGAGTCCTTCAGGACTCCCAACTGATATAACAATTCACAGCATCTTTCTTGCAATTAAGAAAGAATCAAAGTATTAAGAATAGGTACATCTGACTGTCAGGGAACATTTATATGCAAGATCCCTTTTGTCTATTTTTTGTTCTTGAACAGAAAGTGCACTCTAAAGAGGGTAGTCAAGATTGGAGCTGAACAAGTAGGAAAGGTGAATACCTTTGCCAGGCAGACATTCAGAAAGATTGCCAATTTAATGGCAGAACACAATGCAAGCAGCAGCACCAACATTTTTGAGTGAATCTTAGTTAACCTTCACTGGCTGCTACTGCAGCACTACGTTATCAGCTCCTGCTGAGGACACAGTCATACCAAGTGCCCAAGAGAGAAGCCATAGTCTCACATGGACACTCTCATGTGTCTTCTCAGCAATGTGGAATATTGCAGCCATGTTAATTTAGCTTCTCTACTTTACATTGGCCTCCCACGTAATAGCAAATCACATCTGAGTTCTTGGTCCTTATCTACAAGGTAATAAATGTCTTTGGTTCAGCAAAAAGGTTGCCTGAAGCTCCTCTCCGGAGACGACCACTGATAAAGGTCCTCAAGCTCTGTGAATCTCGCCAGTGGGCATGGCTGTCCCTGGCACTGCTCTGAGTCTTCTGAATAAACCTCTGTTGGGACTAAGACATACCACAGGCCTTATTACATTGTTCTTTTAGCATGCAGCTCACCTCAGCAGTACTCATCTAGATGCTTGTGAGAGAACACTAAGAGAGCACAAATACATAAAACAAAACAGGTCTATCCTCAGAGAGTACAGGAAAGAATGAATCACTGCTTACAATATCAGTCCCATTGCTTAATGCATAACTGGATGAGTTGCAGATACTGCTGGCTTGATGAAACCGGAACAACCAGGACAGAACTAGAACAGATACTGCAGGTT